ATTCTCAAATATAGTTTGTTAGATAAGGTGCTCAGACAAATAATGGCTAGTGCAAGATCACTCAATGAGCTTTCTGGCTGAGAGGAATTAACCTCCAGTTTCCCAGCCCCACCTAAACATTTTAATCACTGCACCATGCCAGCCATTACTAATCCTAACCCATTTCAGAGGGGTTGGATCAAGGAAAGACTCTTTGAAGACAGGCAGTATTTCCCTACAATAATTATGTCCTTGGTTGCTTTACCTTTGCAATCTTTTGATCATAATTTTGCATGAAAGAGTCAACTTCTGTTTTCAGCTCAGCAGGATCCACAATTGAGGCTGTGTATCTAGCAATCCATTCTGAAAGAGTGAGAACAAAATAATAAGCAACTTTGTAGTGCAATTTTCAAGATATGAAGAGAGGGGGAAATCATCTTGAGTATTTGGAAGTTACTCTTCATATATTCTGAACCAGATTCAGTGTTGTAGGACAAACTGATCTATATCTAAGCACAAAAGTTTACATTTTATATTATTACATAAAACAAACTAACAATATAAATGCATGCATACACCCAATATGACAGCCATTGGGGATTTAGTGCTGTTAGACTGGCTTGCCATTAGAGGGACCCAGTGGTGTGGTTCATCCATCACTGCCTGTAATACATTCTAGACCAGAATCAGAACTTCTAAGTCTTAGGTAATCTAACATTTCTTTGGATTTGGGGTTAGGACAAATGTGATTAAGAAGAATGATTTACATTTTATTGGGCCTGGCTATCCTTCAAGAAGTTTGTCTGTTGGATTTAATTTTACCTATTTCGTTTGTTTGTTTGTTTGATAAAGACACTGCCTGACTTCAGACTGATACTGGGCAGCTCAAAATACAAGCATAATCTTATACCAGTAAACAGATGGCATATCTGGTAAACCCATAAACAGCATACACCCGACAAAGATTCCACCTATCCTAGTCCAAAGCTGGGAGAAGACCCTCCAGAATGCCATCAGGGTGGGAGTCATCCAGTTCCAGGAGGATGCACATTCCAGGAGGGCAGGCACAACGACAGAGAAGGGATGGGACTTAAAGCCTGTTGATTCTGTCGAAGGGAGCTAGGTAATTCCTCCAGTGACCAGTTCCTATGCCATGAAGAGATTTATAGGCAATAACTGAAAACCAAACAGCCTTTTAGCTAGCAAATGGATTTTATTATATTTGCATTTCATTTTTCATTGCTCAGAACTCAAATCCTTTAGGTATTTCCACTCCCTTCTTGATGTTCATTCTAAATGTTTTATCATAAGTCAGATCAGGCAAAATAAAAAAAAAAAAAATCAGAAGCCTGAAATCAAATGTGTGAAGAGAGAATCAAATCCTTGATTTCCAGTTCTGTCCAATATTTCTTAGGGACTACTGAGTGCAGCCCTAAATGTAGACTTCTGAATGGAAAAGGAAAATGTACAGCATTTGTGCTTAACTCACTGTGAATGCCAGTTTGCACAGGATGGCTGTCTGAAGATATTATCAGGGGTTCTTGTAGTGATGAGGATTTGGCAGCCTGTACTCCAGCAGGTCTTTTGAATACCACATAAGCTACTTGGAATCCCTGTGAAGGAAGAAGCATTTTGTTTCAGGTTTCATTCACATATATGTCCCAAAAAATAAGGGCAACCACAGAGATAGCTGTTCAGCTGTTCAGCCAGGTTGAGATAGCCTCAACCTGGCTGTTCATATGCCATTATGATTTTTTTCCCCATCGCCATGTATCTAAAATACGAAAGTCAGCCCCTGGAATCATTGTCTATTTTGCCTGGGATTACTTGCAGGTTGTTCTGTCACATTTAGATCTAGAAATATTTATGAATCCTGGTCTAACCTAGAACCCACAGAAAAAACTTAGCTAAATATTATATAATAAATATTGCACACCAGTTGCTAAAAGAAGTCAGGATCAAAAATGGCTTCTTAAACAAGGGCCTTGCCTCTCCCTCTTTTAAAGAATCAAGAAATCAGCCTGCAAAAATTATCTAGGATAATCCAGATTATAAAACGAGTAGAGGCAACTGAGGCAAGCTAGAAAGGGATCCAATTCCTTTCAGCCAAAAGCGCATAGTAAGTTTGTTAGTCTAAAAGATCTTGATACACAACATAAACACTACTTGATTATTTCAAATAAGTATATGCTTATTTGTCTTTCTTAAAAAGGTAATGCCATAGCTTCCTTCATCATGTTATTCTCCTTCACATTCCCAATTTACCAAAAGTATCTTGATATTGAAGAATTTGGTCCTAGATATTTCTGTCCCATCTCCTGGCTTTGGCCTTTCACACATCTCCACAGATTGTACGGGGCAAAAGTTGGAGAACAGCCTTGATAAACATTCCTAAAAGGAAAGGAAAAAAGGTTTCAGCACAATTCTTGGCATAGAGAGTAGACATTTCTGAAAGATGAAATGGTTTCTTCTATTTTGCCCAAAATTCTCATCTATCTATAGTAGGCAGGTTCACATCACATTCACATCTTTCTTCTCTTCAATCAGGGTTCATAGCTTGAGGACCAAGTCATGAATATGGCCTTTGAAAACCTTTGATATTGGTTCCAGAATCTCTCTAAAAGTTTCCATGGTTATCTAATTTTTAATGTGAGAGAAGGGGGAAATTATAAAAGAAATGGCTAGATCTCATATAACATATATTTCATTATATTTATCCTGCTCACTACTTTTTATGCCTTAATTTTTGGACTCCAGCAACCAACACGTCATTCAAAAGTCAGCATGCCCCCCTGAAAACTGTGGATTCTTTCTTAAGAACTTCTGTACCTTTCTTCTGGAGTCTTGGCATACTGCATCTTTCTTTTGGCAGTGATCCTGATCACAATTTTGAGATAGAGTTAACTCTGTCCTTCATATGGATGGGGGACAGGGCAGAGAGAAAAAGGTCTATGGTGGAGAACCTTTTACTCACCGAGTGCTGAACAGCTTCGCATGCGTGCTATCTGTGCTAATGTGCAGCTCCATCCCGAGCGCTGCGTGGGCAACCGCACCATCTGCACATGTGCACAGCTTTCACGCGCACCCCATGCGCAACCACACCATCTGTGCATGCATGTGGTTTTCACACGGCTCCCCCCGTACGCTGCATGGGCAATCTCACCATCTGCGCATGCGCCATTTTGTGTGGCTCCCCATGCGCTGTGTGCGCAATCGCACCATCTAGCATTCACATGGCTTTTGCACCCCCGTGCACTGTGTAGCAATTGCACCATCTGCGCATGTGCATTTTTCATGTGTGTAATGCATGTGCACGAACGCCATCTATGCATGTGCGTGTTGCGTGCAAGTACTCTTGTATGCGTGCAAAGACCAGCTGGGTCCCTTGAATTGCGCACCTGAGGCCTGAACACCAGCTGTGGCGTACACGCATGTGCACCTGCAGGTGAGTTGGCCAACAGCTCGGGTGCCCGGAAAGGTGGCTCTGTTTGCCACCTTGGGCATGCGTGCCAGAGGTTCACCATCACGGGCCTATGAATTCCTTTAACTATACTACTTCTTTATTTGGTCAATCTTTCAAAAAATTAAACTTTCTCTTAGCTAAGCTTTCTTCATATTCAAGTTAGTCATTCAGTCCAACCAGCACTGCAAATATCTACAATCAGTTGTTCCATACCTGTTCTCAATGCTAATATCTGAACTATGGAAGCTGAAAGCCAACACATCTTGTGGGATACCAAGTTAGAGGGACCACGTAAGGCAGAAATTCAGACAGACTAAAATAAGATCAGTTAACAGAATGAAAAATGCAACAAATTTTTGTCAGCAGATTTGTATTCTAAGCAGAATGCTATTCATAAAAGTCCAATGTATATTATCTTCTCAAAGTTATCTTGTTAATTTGTAATATCTCTGTTCTGAATGTCCAAATCTCTGTAACTTATGTAATCGTCCTCTCCTTCCCCAAATAAACTCACCTCTGTACAATATGGAGGGATGTTTAAGACAAAAAGAGTTCGGTTTTGAGGCCTCTTGGTATCTCTGCCCTCTCTGACTTTGTGTTCTTTCACATAGAGATAATGAGGTGACTGGTGCTTCTCAGAAAACTTGACTGGAATAGCTAAAAAAGGAAGAAAATTATTTTCTAATCAATTAACTTCATTGGTGAATGTTTCATAAATGAAAAAACAATCATTGCAAGGGCTGTCACAATTATTTCAATAAATAGAATACTTTGCCCCTAAAAAAACAACTGGGTCACAATCTCTCTGCAACATGTAACTATTCTGAAAGACAGTCTAAGGCAACTTTTCCCAACCTGATGCCTTTCATATTGCTGAATTAGAGTCCTTCTCATCTCCAGGAAGAGCAGCACCCCACAAGTTTATACTGTACAATAGTACACTGCTGAATGACTAAAGAGCCATGGCGAGGCAGTGGTTAGAATGCCACTGCATAGTTTGATCCTGACTGGCTCAAGATTGACTCAGCCTTCCATTCTTCCAAGGTCAGGAAAATGAGGATGCAGATTGTTGGGATCAATAGGTAAGTAAGAAATAAAACACTTAGACAGTATTGTAAAGCACTATGAAGTGGTATAAAAGTCTAAGTGCTATTGCTATATGCTTGAAGCCAAGCTGGTAGGTTTGTGAAGAAGGAAATGTTTTATTACTATGTCTGTATGTGACTGGACAAAGTAAGATGAGCACAGGCTTATTTACTTATTGTGCAATATTTATTTTTGCATTTTACTGTTTGTTTCCTAAATCATTTTAAGAGGATTGAACTGATTAAACAAATATGCAATCAGATAAAGAGACAGGGGCTGCCCCTTAACTAATAACACCCTTTTCTTGAGAAATATTTTTTTTTAATTTTACTAACTCTTGATTAGACAGGGGGAAAAACTTCCTGAAGCAAGAAAAGCCCATGGAGACTTTTCTCTCCACACAGAGAACATTAAAATTCAGAAATTAAAATGCATATAAGTGTATATGTCAGATCTGTCTCCATTTTTACAGATATATCTGCTGCATCTGTCCACTTTAACCTTCATGGGCTCTAGAAAATTGTAAACTATTTTTGCTGAACTTGAGTGGGGGTAGGTATTGCATGACTCTCTAATATCTCCTTTCCACTTTAGGTCTATTTTTGTACAGGCAAATATTTAAACAGAACCACCACAAATTAATAACATAAATGTTTAATTGAGCAAACCCTTTTTTATCTATGCATCAAGAATAATTATGAGTTCATTAGAAGTTTACTAGTTGGAAACATGAATGCAGAGGATCTCATATTGTTGGTTGAGAACCTGTATAAATTTCAGTTAACACATATGCTATATGAGGCAAAAATATACATTTTAACATTGATTAAAGATCACTGTCTTTTATAAGAAAAAGGAGTAAAAATCACAAGTTATTAATAAATAGTGAGAAACTAGACTAAGTAGATGAATTTAGGTACATTTGACAAAAAGTTTACTAAAAGCAGGAAAATACAAAAGCATTCAGACACACAAACATTGGAGAAAATTAGTAGACAATAAGTGCCTTTTGCCAGGAATGAATGTTTTTTTAAAAAAGAGGTCACTATGGCTATGTATAAATGCAAGTTTCTGCCCATTTTGCTACATTTGTGTCAAAACTGAGTATGTCAAGAGAAATGTGAAAATAAGACTGAATGAAGTGAGAATGGTATACTAAGAAATATGCATAGTTAAAACAAGAAGAGACAAAGTAAAACCTGGGTATTGAATGAACATCAATATAAAAGTGAGTTACTCATGAGAAAAGTATGCTGAAATGGTTTGATCTTACAGAGAAAATGAAAGAAAATTGAATTTCAAAACAAATGTAGGAATGAGCAATAGCTAGATCACGGGTATCAAACTCATGTCGTCACAGCGTTGTCACGTGATATATCTGGACTTCTTTCTCCTTCGCTAAACTGGGTGGGGGCAGGGCCAGCACATGACACATCTGGCCCATGGGCCGCAAGCTTGACACCTCTGGGCTAGATGAAGGGGGAGGAAAAGAACAAGAACATTGTGATGGACAGAATTGAAATTGATTTTCAAAACAAGACAGGCAAAAGAGAATATATAATAGTGTTTGGTGGAAACAGGAAGAATTGCAAGGATAGAAAGGCATAGAGAACAGCATCTGATCTCACAATGGTGTTGTGGGGAAAATAGGAGGGAGGATTATTATATATGTTTTCTACCTCGAGTTATTTATAAAAATAAAGGTAGTATAACACAAACAAACATTGCACTTTTGCACCACACCAGTTATTTGTACAACTAGGTAGCTCATGTGAAAAAAAGGGGTGGGATTTGTATCACACTACTCCACTGCTTTGTCTAATCTTAAATCCTCTGCTTTCCTTGCAGATGTTGCTAGATTTAGTTACCTTTTTTAAATCTCGTGCTTCATTTTACAGGTTTACTATTTCTTACACCTTTTTGCACTTTATATAATGCTGCTTAAAGTGGAAGCACATTCTTTTGTATACGCATGCATTTACAGAATACTCGGATCACAAGTGGAATCAAAATTAATTTAGTCTAAGCTACTTCGCAGAAAGGCCAATTTATTTAACTACTGCCTCCATTATCTCCTTCTGCAGAAAACCAGTTTCCAACCGCAAGCAGAAGCGCAACACTGTTGACTTGTATGCAGGCCTTTTGCATCCGTGTATACATTCTATGTTGGCCCCATTAGTGAAAGAAACAAAAGGATGCGTCTCAGCACACTGCCAAAACCAGGTCGGAGGCCACTGAAACCGTCAAGCAACCGAGAGAGCAGCTTCAGGATTAACTGTTTCCTACTCACCGGTGTATCCCAGGGTTGCGACAGCTTCTCCATTTTTCACACACTTCGAGCCGGAGGCCGCCATTTTGGCTCGGAGGAAATTGCGTCATCCTTCCTTCGCCAGCTGCTGAGCATCGCGAGGTTTCTTGGGACCAATCGCTTTCCCGGGAAAATCGAAGGGCGGCTTCGTCCCTGCCATCTGCGCAGCCTTGGGCCGCTGTGTTTGTTAAGCACGTCCGTTTGCCCGGAACGAAATCCCACAGCCCAGGAGGGCCTTTGTTTCCCGAGACCCAGGCCTGCGCGTGAACTGGGTCAGCCATGTGCCGCCCTGTTGCCTTTTTTTTAAGATGAAGGTGATGAGATGGACTAGAGGCGATAAGTGACACAAAGCCCCCTTTTCAAAGCCTGTTTTCACATTCACGGAACGTTCGTAACCGGCGAGGAAAGGGAAGATTCTGGAAACGGAAGATTCGGAGGCGAAAATCACACGCAAAACGAGTTTCCAGGGTTAATTTTGGAACTGAAAACTTCTAGTGAGGCGTCCAGCGTTACGTCTGTTTTCTTAAAGCAGCGTAGAAAGCCCCTCCGTGTGTGTGTGTGAAGCGTCCACGGAGAATTCCTTCGGTTTGATAGGATGGGTATATCGGCATATGGAAGATTTTCCTTTCAAGATGAAGAAAATTTCTGATGACTTCCCAACAATATGGAAGCGACTCCGTCTTGCTATTTTTTTCGGCTGACTTCCCGATATATTCAGGAGTTCTGATGGAACTGATCCCTGTTAACTTAAATCATAAGTTGGTTTGGGGCCTCTAACTAATTGGGGTAAAAGTGTCCCAGTATCCTGACTTTAAACATAATAAAGTTCGTATTGTTATAGAATTGGAAGTTCATTTTAAATCTAAAAAGTTAAAACATCATATATTCTGGGTACTATATCTCATGTAGTTATTTTAATCACCATTCTGATTTCTCAAACAACTTCCATCAAAATCTTCCTGAATATGAAAAGCAGTATCTAAGGGTGAAGCTGATCTGCAAATTTAGAATAAAAATCATTTTAAGAGTTCCTCATCCACAGGAGAGTAATGAACAAGCCGACTTCCTTAACTAGATTTATGCTATCAGCTATTGTTTAGAAGCACTCCCAAAATTAAACATTATAAACTTTGTTTTGTATCTTTAAAAAAAAGAATGTAGAATATTCTCTGTATAATACAGTATTTATTCAGAAACACATCATGTCCTCCGGTTAACCTCTGAAACCAACCCCACTGCTGTTAATGAAGGACAGACACAAGGAATAGCATTTCTGCACAAAAAATACCTGTTCAAAAGTACATTTCCCCAGTAAGAGTAAATATGATTTTTCCAAAATTAATAATTGAGATTAGCAAATTCCATAGGGAATAGCGATTCATATCCTGAAGTGATATAATTTGACTGACTATTTGAAGAGCAACTACTGAGCATCAGGCTTACAGTGGAATAAGCTGTTACTAGAGGATCTTAGCACAGATGAAAATGTTTAAATCCTGCAGTTAAGAGAACAAAAATCCAATGTCCAAGGAGTTTTCCAGTGCTATTTCACTTTGTTATGGTACTTTAAAAAAAAAGATTTTCAAAAAATCTTTTAGCAAAAATTTGTACATCAGGTAAAATTGCACATGGAAATAAAATACATCTTAGTTTTAGATAACTTCTTTCACTGCCCACCTTTCTCTATTTTATGACAAATAATTCATTTAAGGTACCCTTGCCACTTTTTCATAGAAATAGTGCTACATGACAGCAGCAGAATCTTATCCAGAGAAAAGGATTTAGGGATACATTTTATACAAATATAACTCCTGAAGAACAAAATGGGTGCTGTTTTCTATTGGTATTTCAAATAAACAACAGAGTTGGAAGTGACCCTGGAGGTCTTCTACTCCGACCCCCCTACTCAAGCAGGAGAGTAGTCCTTGACTTACAACAGTTCATTTAGTGACTATGAACGGCATTTTAAAAAGTGACTTATGACCGTTTTTCACATTTACAACCATTCCTGCATCCCCATGGTCACGTGATCCAAATTCAGATACCCAAGATAGCTGGAGTGTCCCAGTTGAAATGTGATCCCATTTTGCAGCCTTCTGACAAGCAAAGTCAATGGGGAAGCCAGATTCACTTAATAACCATGTTAGTAACTTAACAGCGATTCACTTAACAACTGTGGCATGAAAGATTGTAAAACAGGGCAAAACTCAATTAACAAATGTCTCACTTAGCAACAGAAATTTTGGGCTCAATTGTGGTCATAAGTCAAGGACTATCTGTACCATTTCAGACAGTTGTCCAATCTCTTCTTAAAAACCTACAATGTTGAAGCACCCACAACTTCTGGAGTTTCACTGATTGTTCTGTCAGGAAATTTCTTAGTTCTAGATCGATTGTCTCCTTCATTAGTTACCATCCCTTGTTCTTATTCTGCCTTCAGGTGCTTTGGAGAATAGGTTGACCCCGCTTTTCTTTGTGGCAGCCTCTTAGATACTGGAACACTGTTATTATGTCACCCCTAGTCCTTTTCATATTTGACTTAATCAATTGCAAAATGATCAGCTGTTTTGTAGCTTGAGAGAAAATTGCATTGAATTAGCTTATGGACAACTGTTTTAGAGCCAACATCTCAGAAAAATTTAAACGTAACAAAATAAAGGCCTGACTTGAATTCTATTGACATCAGGGCTAGGAGGAAGAGGCCTCTACTTGTGATTCTAAAGCACCATGTAAAAACAGCTTACAGTATCATTTTCTATTTTGTGCTGTTTAATTGGGACATACTCAATATTTTCCTCTGCAGTATAGATCTTCATATCAAAAATTGGAAAATAATATAAATACTAGATAATGAAGCTAGGTACTTTACTGGCATTCAAACAAATCCATAGGAAAAGCACTTCTGTGTAACATCCTGAAGATCACAACAATATTCCTCCATCAACATATTAACAACATGAATACATGGCAATGAAAGTAGTGTAGAATATGTTATATACTTAAACATATTCCCACTCCTTCATAATCTCTTCCATTAGTTGCTGCATGGACATTTGCTGCTTCCTTTTTACCAATTTTAGAGTAGCAGACAAGCTATTATCAATGCCTGGGAGTACAGTATTATATCAAGTCTCTTCCACAGACACAGATATATTGAAATGAAATGTTTATTAGTTGTGTAAAGCAAAAGGGTCACCATTTTTACTAAAAGAATGAAAGTCACAATAGATGTTTATCACACCTTTAACTAGGTGTACTTTTAACTGGCTGGATACTGCAGTGGGGAGGCAGGTATAATAAAGGAAGAGTTATATGGTGATACAGATTTCAGTAGAGAAAGGGGAAATTATTCAATTAGAAATATTGGGACAAAAATTCCAACTATGAAAACGGAACAAACACATTTAGGGGAACACTACTGTACAGGAAAGGTAGCAACTGTAGAAAAACAAAGATTTGAGTGCAGTCCAACACAACAATTGTGTTCCCATGTCTCCCAATTTTCCACACTCAGTTTACTAGTCCACTTTGACTGCTACTTTTCAAAGTTTGATTTTGAACTCTGTAGGCTGCACAGTAGCAGAAGTCCCCGAGGATTTGAAGAGTGCCTTCAAGATGGTGTCAGGATCCACTTCAGCCGGGGGATTTGAAGATGTTCCTGTGCTTGTCCGACGTGGTTCAATTTCTTTCTTCACTGAAGGAGTGTCACTTAATCGACTAGTTACAAGAAATAACATTATATTTAGTCTCCTGACAGAATGTAGACTCAATCAATAGTATTTATTTTTTTATATAATGGAAGAAAAAGGAGGAACAATATTAGAAATGCTAAAAGCTCCAACATTGAGTCATAATCGGAAATGAAATGGTTGCTATCAATTATAATGCTGAACTCAAATAGTTTTTATATTTTCAGGCTGATAACTTATCAGCAAAATTTATTTACATCTTACATTTATATTCTGTCCTTAAAGATCTTTAATTTTATGAACGTAATACACTTACAGCAAAATAGGCTGGTCTGATGTGATGACATTTCCATTAATGAAAAGATTACATTTCATTGGTTGTCCTAGTGAGAAAAAAACATAACATCAAAAAGATGCAATGCTTTAAAGTATTACTATTAGAATCGTTGCTAAGGTTGCACAAATTCTGGAAAATCATAATCTGGATCATATTCATTCTTTCACTTTTTCCTCACTTTATATTCAGTGTCAGAAGCATTGCTTCCATGATTTTTCTCCTCTTGATAAATAAAAAGAAAATTAAGAATTTAGAAATTTAGAAAATTAAGAAAATTTGAGAAATTTGAGAAATTTCTGTTAATTTGAGAAATTCCAACTGCAAAAATCTGTATTCTAAAATCCTAGTAAAATAGAAATCTTTTTTATTGTTTGATTCTTTGCTTTCCTGAAAATGTTTGAAGTATTTTGCAACAAAGCAAGAAAAAAGAAAGAAAAGCTCAACCTTTCATATGAGGTTCATGCTCACCATCCAAACATCTGTTGTTGTATTTCTTATATGCAGTGATGGCATCTTCCTTTTTCACAAACACAACTTCAGCCATCCCGGGGTTCACTAGACGAGCTCGCTTTAGGGCACCACACACACAGAACAATTCCTGAGGAAAAAGTTGTTGTTTTGGAATAAAGAATATAGTATTGCCATAGCTTTAAACAAGACAGGATTGTTAAAGCAATAGCAGCAAGATACTAGATTTAGATACTACCTAATGCATGTCTCTTCCAGTTTTTGCATTTAAAAAGTGATTTATGACCTATCCTCACACTTATGACAGTTGCATCAACCTCAAAGTACATGATCACAATTTGGGTGCTTGGCAACCATGTTGCACATACAACCAGTTGCAGCATCATGCGATCATATGACTGCGATTTGTGACTTTCCTTGCCAGTAATAAGCATCAATAAGCATCGACTTATTATCAACAATAAGCATCAACTGGGGAATCTGGATTTGCTTAATAACCACAGGATTTGCTTAATGACCATGTGATTTGCTTAACCATGGTACAAATGGTCATAAAATTGGGTCCAATCATATGGTGATTTGAATTATGACAGCACCAATCTATAATGGAAATTCTGGTCCCAACTGTATTTATAAGTCAAAAATTATCTGTACTCTCAGACTTGAAAAACATACAATACTCACAACAATATCCTCTTCTGTAACACGGGGGTGTAAATTATTCACAGTCATCTTAGTACCCTCTAAAGGACTAAAGGCTGGCTATAATAAAAATAAGGTAAACATCAGCAATAAATAGAGGAAACATCAGTGATGTAATAATGCACACAAGCAAAGTGAAAAACTAAAGTCTACAGTTAAATTTCTACAATTTCAGAATGCAGGTAGTACTTAATTTACAACCCATTTGTTTAGTGACCGAAGTTACAACGGCATTGAAAAAAGTGATATATGACTTTTTTCACATGTTCATTGTAGCATCCCCATGATCACATGATCAGAATTCAGATGTTTGGTCACTGGCACGTATTTATGACAGGTGCAGTGCCCTGGGGTCATGTGATGACCTTTTGTGACCTTCTGACAAGCAAAGTCAATGGGGAAGCAAGGTTCACTTAATAACCATGTTACTAACTGAAGAACTGCGATGATTAAGTGATTCACTTAACAATTTTGGCAAAAAGGTCATAAAATGGGACAAAATTCAGTTAATAACCATCTTGCTTAACAACAGCATTTTTGGGATCAATTGTGGTAGTAAGTTGAGGACTACCTGTATTACCCCTAATATCCAACCACCATATAAAGCATATTCAGTCAGCAAAAAGTTATATTGGATTCCACAAATAGCTCATGTTACATATAATTCTACACTTTGGTTGGGGTGGGGGAGAGCCCATTCATAATTGTGAACCACACAATTATCAGTGGCATAAAGGAAACTGCCATGTCAAAAAATGGAGCAAGACAAAAACTAAATGCAATTTAATTTAATTTAATTTAAACACAATTCAGCATAATTAATATAGTTCTCTGGAATTCTCTAGGAACAGTACCCTGGAGGTGCTTTGGTGACCTCATGTTAGCATCTGTATTTGGGAAAAGGACATAATATATTTGTTCACCTCGTTTTAGACTAAAGTTAATTTAATTTTTTTTTTACAATTCTATGGACAGCAAACAAAGACTCCAAACCTTCAACTCACCTCAACCACTGTAGGCTCTTTAGGAGGTTCCTCCTTGGTCACTAAGGTTCTAGACATGTTTGTGAGGGTCTTTGTTCGGATGGGGGAAGACGGAACTGGGGGAGCTGTATATGCATCATTCTGGACAACTTTTGTAAGAGGGACTGTCTTTGAGAGAGAAAACTTGTTGCCACTGTGTCCAGCCTAAACAAACAAAACATAAAAAATTGGAAATGCCAGAAGCAATTACTTTTCTTCCAAACACCAAAAGCCAAATAGTATTACATAGCAAGATCTCTCCTGTCAGACAATTTAGCTGCAGGAACAAACTCATGTGGCCAAAAATGGATGAAAGGATGAGATAATCTACCCCCTGGTATCATATTTTGATCTTTGAATTTGATTCTTTCCTCTGGTGTCCTGTAGTTATTCTTACATTTTATTGTTATTCTTTTATTTGTTTTAATTCTGTTATTTTAATCTTAATATGTAAGCCATCTAGAGTTACATCAGCACTTGAGGTGGCATACAAGTAGGTAGGAAGATAGAATAGTAAGCAAACAAAATGACTTAAGAACAGATCACTAATTTTGGTTGAAACCCACAGCCTATTATTTATCACAATAATTCCTTTAAGGCAACCAATACTACTACGGTATAAGTAGGTTTTTTAAAACTATAGCTTCTTTTACCCTGAACAGAATTAAGTGACACATGACTAGTTAGATTGACCATGGACACTGAGACTTCCTTTCATGCTTTTGCTTAACTTTTGAAGGACCTTTGACCATATTTCATAAAATATGATTCTTAAGGTAAATAATTAAAGCATTTGTAGTCTAGTTCAGCAAACAATGATGACTTCCTTTCTGCGCTTTTAACTGATAAAGAGATAAAAATGAAGCAAAATTTTTTAGAGATCATTCTGTAATTGACTAGCAACATACCTTCCATTGTCTTATCAAAATATATTGACTGGGCTCCTGCATGATATTAACTTATAATATAGTTTATTAGTGGCTTTGCACAATGCATGAATCTCAACATGATCAATCATTTATAATATGCACCTTTTCATCATAATAATATGGACTTTCAAGACAACATCAGAAATTATATCCCAGAACTGTGGGATATAGGCCAAGCCTGATTTTTGGGGTGGGGATAAATATACGCCCTCCCCCGAAAATAAGCCCTCCAGCAAGCGCGGCTGTTTTTGCCATGGTTTACGGCCACTTCTGCAGCAGGAGGCCAAGTGATGCGCCCCATGTGCCTTGTGGCGGCCTTCCGAAGGGTACTGTAGCAGCAGCTATCCACAATTTTTTTACCCTTATTTCATCCCGATTGTACTGGGCCACATGGGTCAGGACGAAATAAGGGTTAACAAATTGTGGATAGCTGCTGCTATGGTACCCTTCGGAAGGCTGGCGCGAGGCGCGAGTCTCCTGCTGCAGAAGTAGCTGCGCCCAAGGAGTGCTTTTGGGAGAGAAGGCAAAAGGGAAGCGATCCCTTGCAAACTCCCGCCCTACTCCCGCCTCTCCACCGGGCGACTCCCAGCAGCCCCAAACGCCCAAAGTCCGTGCCTGCCTGGCTCCTTTTTCCACAGTGCCCGGCTCTTTATTGAGGGGGATGAGGGAGAAGCAAGAGGCATGGGGCGAGACAGGGCTCGCTCTTCTTGCCGTCTCTTCTCCCACTCTCATTGGGCATGGCAGGGCTTCCTGTCCCTGCCCAAATTGGATGCAATTTGGGGATGGCAAGTGGGGAGGGATGGGGCTGGGGAGACATGAAATGTGTCTTACCTGCCTTGTAGCTCTGTCGCATGCCTTGCCGTTGTCTGGAGGCAAACACGTTGTAGGGTAAAAGAAACCTCGCGAGTTCAATCAAACTTCTCAAACTCGCGAGAAGTTTGGTTTTACCCTACAATGTGTTTGCCTGCAGACAACGGTGAGACACGCGACAGAGCTACAAGGCAAGTAAGACGCGCGTCTCTTGTCTCCGTGGCCCCACCCCTCCCCACCTGCCATCCCCAAATTGCATCCAATTTGGGTGGGTGGGGGGAAGCTCTGCCATGCCTGGCGAGAGGGGGAGAAGAGATGGCAAGAAGAGTGAGCCCTGTCTCACTCCATGCCTCTCGCTTCTCCCCCGCTCTACCTGCCATCCCCCTCGAAAAAGAGACAGCGGGAAAGAGCAGAAGCCAGGCTGCTATTACCATTGGGGTGTGTGGAGCACTCTTTCCTGTCTTGCAGCTCCGTCGCGTGTCTCGCCGTTGTCTGCAGGCAAACATATAGGATAAAAAAAAACCTCGCAAGTTCAATCAAACTTCTTGAACTCGCGAGAAATTTGGTTTTACCCTACGTGTTTGCCTGCAGACAACAGCAAGACACGCGACAGAGCTGCAAGGCATGTAAGATGTGCATCTCGCGTCTCCCCGGCCCCACATGCCACCCCCCTCAATAAAGAGCCAGGTGCTCTGGAAAAGGAAGCTGGGCGGGCGCAGGGTTTTGGTGTCTGGGACTGCCGGGGTTTGCCCGGCAGAGAGGTGGGAGCGGGGCGGGAGTTTGTAGGCGAGGGGGATGGATGGATGGATGGGAAGCGGGCAAATGCCCAGCGAACAGCTGACGAGCGACTGTGTTGTGCTGCTACAGCAGCGCAACACAGCAGAAGCCATGAGGTGGCCACACTCGCTGTCTCCTGTACCCCCAAAATAATAAGACACCCCCCCCCGATAATAAGGCAAAGCCCTTATTTTGGGGTTCAAAAAAATATAAGTCAGGGTCTTATTTTTGGGGATTTTGATTTTAACAATGGAGACTGACAAAACTAGGTGTGGCGTAGTTAACAAAGACAGGAAGCTGATGCACTACGCTTGGATCAGACATTTTAAAAGTTTTAAAGGGACATACAGAAATTCTTTACTTTGAACTGATGAACCTTGAAATAGAGCACTTTGGACAGAGAAGAAAAGGAAGAAAAGGAAGAATTAAAGTGGATAAATTTAAATGTGACTAACTGAAATGTAAAGTTTAAAAGCCTATGTATATATATGATAAAGTTTAAAAGCCTAAGTATATATGATTTTTGGATAAAAACAGGAAGGGTTGTGAAATAATAAAAATAGAAAATAAGAGGTGGCTATTAAAATAGTGGATGATATCAAGGGGATAAAAATAATGAAGAATATATTTTGAGGCAGGAAAATTTTAAGAAAATGTACTGTTTGATGTAATACGTTTTAATTTTAATTTGCAAACAAATGTTAAACTGACGAATAAGGATTGATTGAACAAAATACAAGATACACAGATGTTAGTGATTAGTCTTGAATTAAGGCAATACAAGTTGGAAATGATGACTATTATGAAATATACTGAGATTTAAATTGAAAGAGCAGGATGGAAAAATGATATAAACAGATAATTATATTACAGTTAAAATGTGTGGGATGGATACCAACTAGATAAGAGTTTGAGACTCGGTGGAAATACGTTGGAAATTAATTCAAAATGCTGGAAACAGCCATACAAATAGGAGGAGAGTTGGAGGAGACTATGCTGGTAATCAGCCAAACAATGGAGGGAGTCAAGGAGGAGACTATGCTGGAAATCAGACCATAAAATGCTGGAAACAGCCAAACAAATAGGAGGAGAGATGGAGGAGACTATGCTGGAAATCAGCCAAACAATGGAGGGAGTTAAGGAGGAGACTATGCTGGAAATCAGCCCACAAAATGCTGGAAACAGTCAAACAAATAGGAGGAGAGCTGGAGGAGATTGAGGAACTATTCTAAAATCAACTAAATAGTTCGTGTTTAACAAGCTGAAAGACAGTTAAATATTAGAGGGAGATATAGTGGAAAATATATTAGAAATTGGAGTAAATAAAATATGCCTTTGAGAGAAACCTGTGTAATATGTAAACTGGGAGAAAAAAAATCTAAAGTAAACTGATTTGAGGATAAGGGTCAAAGGATTAAAATTAGATAAAATATTGTTTTATAAAATATAATAAAAATGGAGTGGTATTGAATTGAAACTAAGAATAAATGGTGATAAAATTGTAAGGTAAACACTTAACAAGAGGTTAGAATATTATAAAAATTATTTTGATATGGTTTGTATAAGATATAAGGTAAAGAACAATAAAGATATATTTAGAATTGTTAAGCAGATGTAAAAATGAGTGAAACTGAATTTGAAACTAATTTTGGATAGATATAATGGATTTATATAGATGAAAATGTGAAATTTGAGGTAAAATTGGTTTTTTCTTAAGTTTTGAATTTCTTTTTTATCTTCTTTTTTTTTTCTTTTTTTGTTTATTTATAAAAGATGTAATGGAAATTGTGAATTGAGCTTGTGAAAGGAATGTAAGCGTGGTAACCATCTATGACCGGATCGAGATTTTTGCTCTTGAAAGTTATGTTTTTATGTTTAAATTTGAAAAAATAAATAAAAGACAGGGTCTTTATTTTGGGGGAAACACAGTATCTTTCACCAGAATGATGAAAAATAGATGTAGTTTGCAATACAATGGAATCTGGACAGATTTCAATTACTAGCTACTGTATTTTTCGGAGTATAAGACGTACCAGAGTATAAGACGCACCTTAGTTTTTGGGGAGGAAAATAAGAAAAAAGCTGACTGGCAGGTGTGGAATAACCCCAATCAGCTGTTCCCAGAGGTGAATTTTAGCAACAGGTTCCTTGGTTGTGAGCTCTGTGCCTTGCTTTTTTTTTGCTTTTTTTTCTGCCTCTGAAACTTCTGAAACTCTGTTTCAGAAAAAACATTTTTTCCTGCCTCTGAAAGTCTCCAAAACAGAGCTTCAGAAAAAAAGCCTCTGAAGCTCTGTTCAGGGGCTTTTTTTCTGAAGGTTCGTTTCTGATGCTTTTTTCAGCCTCTGAAACCTCCGTTTGAGAAGCTGGATGGGGCTACATTCGGAGTATAAGACGCACCCAGATTTTCACTCCCTTTTTTTGGGAAAAAGGTGCGTCTTATACTCTGAAAAATACGGTAGTTCAAAAGATGAAGAGAGAAATTAATGCCACATTAATTCTATGAGGCTCTACATCTGCCACAGATATAGGTAATTGTCATCTTGTCCTAGAATAGGTGCAAAAAAATGTACAAATTTGAAAGCTGGAATGAGAATGTTCATCCAATATGAATAGAGAGAAAGCATATTTATCGTACATAGGTACAAAGGCAGAAAAGAAAGATGATTACAAAATGCAGATCCTTACTGCATTGTTCAGGAAGCTGTCAGTTGCTGTGATTTTCATCTGTTTGTTGGGAAAGGGAGATACAGTTTCATCATCATCCTCTGTATCGTATAGGCACTAAAACAGAAAATAAATGGATATAATTTTTATAATGGAAATAATTAACTGAATATTTCACATTATAGCTGCAAAATGGATATCTTAAAGAGACAGGGTTGTGTTGAAGTAACAACTAACTGCAACAAGTAAGCTGTTATGGACTTTAATTCTACTTCTAGCTATCAAGAATATGCATGTAGTGATTTTTTTAACTTATACTGTATACGTTAGGGCACAAATTAATCAACCAATTTTTCTGAGTATAATACTTGTCAGAGGTGAAACAGACATGGAGATATCATAATTCTGAAGAAATTTTTGCTGCATATGAAGGCTATTTTAATACACAAATATAAACTTTTCCGTGCATGTATTGCTTACTTACTGAAATGCTTCAAAACTGTTTGATCAGGTAATATCCAAAACTATTTAGAAACCCAGGAAAGCGTGACAATACTTACAGTGAAACAGAAGATGACTCATTTATGCTATAATTCACATTTTAAATGACAAACTGATTATTGTATTAATTGGACTTTTACATTTATGATGTGTAGTTTCTGAAATGGAGATAGGTCATGGAAGAGGAGTGTTTATGAACAGGATTGGAACCCCAATGTGGGCAGGGGAGCAACCTTTTTTCTTCTATTGATTACAAGAAACATTTCATAATTAATATATTGCTCTTACAGATGATTTGCGCTTTCCATTCAATGAAAATAATGTTGAAGGCTGAGCTGCTTCTTACTGTTTTTCCCTTACTATGGTTGCTATGCAACAGTCTGTTCTACATAGTATCCTAAATTCTCAAAAACGAAGGCTTACATTCTCAAAAACAAGTATATTAAATGCAAAGGTATTTATTTACTTGTGGTCAATTCTTTTCAATACTTAACTAAGCATTATTTTGTGAAATGATAGCAGGTAAGCCAAAGAGTAGCTGAGTCAATATCTTCCATTATCTCTTGGCCATTAAGTATCATAATAGTGAAGAATGGCAATATTTAAGAGTCTGATTGAGGCAGTATGGAAAAACTAACTGAATTAGCAGAAGTTATCTTGCTTATATGTTGCAAGCCTTAGGAAAATACAGAGAACTTGCTAAATGTAACTATGAGCTTAATGACCTATGTGCTAGATAATTCCTGTAAAGGAACATATTGCAAGAAGTGTCTACCAAAGATAACAGATGGTGTAAGATAATACCCTACCCACATATGGGAGATGTAGTAAGATAACCAATTATGAAAAACTTCTCCTTTCTATGTTATGTTTTGCTCTGATATAACTAGATAAAAGTAACGCCTCAGGTGGGCTGGGGTTGCAAAATGTATAAAAATCACACCTTGGGCGTAGCCCGGGGTTCAGGATTTGACATGTTAATGCTCTGAACCTTTGCGCAAATTAACCTGTTTCTCCAGTGATGGGATTCAAGTAATTTAACAACCGGTTCTCTGCCCTAATGATTTCTTCCAGCAACCAGTTTGCCAAACTGCTCAGAAAGTTAACAACCGGTTCTCCCGAAGTGGTGCGAACTGGCTGAATCCCACCACTGGCCCTCTCCAACCCTTCGTGGTCTTGTGTCCTGAATTGGTAACAGGATTTGCTGCAACATATGGTACTTATAGCCAACCCCTATCCCAGGGAACTCTGGGCAAGAAATATTTCATAGTGTGGAAGTTATCATACAGAAAGCTTGTCATTTCACCCATATCCCATCAATCTCATGAAGAGAGGGAACTTTTGCCAGACCTCTTGATGAGTGGATTGGAGCAGAAGATTTGGCTCTGCTGAGCCATTTCCTGATGTGTCCTAACACTGCAAAACTAAAGATACCATACAGCTGAGATGCACAGATCTATACAGAATAACTCCAAAGCAGATGCTTCCAATGATTTGTCAACATTGTACACGTAGTAGCAAAATGTATAAAAATAGGTTGAACTGATAGTTACGTAAAGACACGCACCTGTTTGTGAGTATGATTATTCACAATGTTGACCTTCATACCTGCAGAATGAGCATGTGATGGAATTGTAGCTTTCTGCTGTTATTGGGGTAGGAGAAGAGGAAAAATAAAATCAGCAAAGGATATATCAACTTCTGGAGTTAATTCAAGGAAGATTACAAAAATGTGAATTGTTAATTCTTTAGTGCTTCTAATAACAGACCAATTACTTCTTTACCAAATTTTTGAAGCATTATTGAAATGCATTATTCTACTATCTCCTCCACTAACTGTAATAAAAGGCTTTTAAATGTGATCTAGAAATTAAGCAAATAATGTTGTACTATTAAAAAGGAAAGCATAATTGCAGCAATTGCTTTGTCCCATAATTGTGTTCTGCTTCCAAACTTTTTGTAAAGGTTCCCAGAGAAGGCTCAATGCTTTATAGAATCATTACCCCAGCTTTCTCTGACTTTTATTCAGATATTTGGAATCAGCCTAGTTTCATTTGTGAGATATGATAACAAAACTCTGGAAAAATCACTGTACATTTTACTTCTAACTCAATGGTATCAGACTGATTATTAAAAGTAATTGCTTGGTTTTTAAAACAAATTCTACAGTCAGAACTCAATTTATTTACCATGATCTATCAGCCTCTGTGGAGCAGGCTGTTGCTTCTGCGCTAAAATGGAACTTAAAAAGCAATTTGTTTGACTCCACATTTTTAAGTTGATAATTTCTGGATTACAAGTGAACAAAGAAGGAAGAATTAGATGACATTTTAACATGTTGTAGAGTGCCCTAAGCTTGATTATCTGGCACAGAGACAAAGAAGATTGGGATGCTTCTAGCATAAAACTGGAGAAGAAAGACACAAGTGCTAAACTAATCCCTTCTTCTGCTGATAGCAGGTGAGATGGCATGATACCTCTGGGAAGTTAAGATACCTCTCCAAGCATTTCGATATGTATGTATATGCATATGCTATCAGCTCTGTGTACAATATACCACAGTTTCTCTGGGAAAACTGAAAATTACTGAACAATATAGCTTGTGAGCCAGATGGCAGGCTGATGCATTTGTTTCAACCTGCTATCTTCATGAGTAGTACAATACTCAATATTTACAGAATATCTTTTCTGCTTCAAGAGATAGTCTAGCCCTTTTCTCTTTTATGGTGTGCTTAGTGAAGTAAACAGAACCATCAAGTGGCATCTTATCTCAAACTCATAAAAAAAATGCCTCATTGAGTGATAGCACCCAGGCAACCTTGGCTGGTTGTAGGAACTAAACAGAATTGATTGTGATCAAAGTTGTCAAAGAAAAAAAATCTGGGAAATGCAAAACTATCAGCTAGGTTTTTACAAAGACATGTTACTTCCATATACTGCCAAAAAACCTGCATAGCGGCAATCACCAGAAGCCTAGTTCAACTCAAGGAATCTTAATTTTTTTAAAAAAAATAAAGCACAGCTTTGTTTACACAAGATACAACATAAATCAATGCTTTATATAAATTTTCATATAACCATAAGGGTATGAACTCAATGCTCTCTAGATATTGCTCATACTGTCTTGATAAGAATTAACCCTATACAGCACCAATTTGTTCCTCTTGCTGAAATTTATACAAGAGGATAACACAGCAGAGATTACAAATTTGTCATATAAATAATGCAGTTCTATATAATTCATATTAAGTTCTTAGATATAGATAAAATACACTGCTCAAAAAAATAAAGGGAACACAAGCAGAAGACATCCGAGATCTGAATGAATGAAAATAGCCTTATTAAATACTTTGTTCGTTACATATAGTAGTTTTGTGTTCCCTTTAGTTGTTTGAGCAGTGTATAAACTACTGTATGTAAAGAACAAAGTATTTAATAAGGCTATTTCATTCATTCAGATCTCGGATGTCTTCTGCTTGTGTTCCCTTTATTTTTTTGAGCAGTATAAATATCTATATCTATTATAAACTTAACTGCGGTAGTATTCCCCATACACTTGGAACACTGCATTAAGAAAAATATTATTTTACTATAGTGAATTGACTCTGAAAGAGGAAGTTCCTCATATTTGATCTGGAGAAAAGTTGTCTTACATGCATTGATTTCTCCTATTATTACAAAAATGTTGTCACTTTATGTTCAGAATATTGGAGAATGTCATCCTCACTCATCTGTTAAGAAAACAACCTCCTCAACAGTTGACGCAGATGCAATTTACAAAATACTGATGTCCTGGTCTTAAGTAGTTGAGAGATAAATCGGGATCTCATCTAAAAGCAATCCACTGCTGAGGCTTCTGTGATCTTATTTTATTCTTTTTTAATAAATCTGGAGCTGTTTCAGTCTGGCTTCAAGACAGGGTATAGTACAGAGAGTGTTGGACACACTTGCTGATGACCTCTGGCAGAACCAAGATAGGAGTGGCGTCTCCGTCCTTGTGCTCCTTAATCTCTCAGTAGCTTTTGAATTTGTTGGCCATAGTATCCTTCTGGACTGTGGGGATCAGAAGTGGGAGGCACTGGGCTCCAGTCATTCACTCCTTCTTCAGGCTGGTTCTAATTGGGGGGCAGAGGGGGGATGCCTTATGGTTCAATAATCCCCTTCCTCCTGTTCAACATTCCCCATCTGCTACCAGTTCAGGGTGCAATTATTTATTTGAACCCCAAATGGCACAGGTGAAGTTGTCAAAGTCTTGACTCCTTGTCTGGAGACTGTCTGGCTCTGAATGGGACAGAATAGACTTTGACTCAATCCTAATAGATTGAGTAGTTGTGGCGGTTTGGACTCTCTAAGTCAGGGGTCTGCAATCTTAAACATACAAAGAGCCATTTGGACCTGTTTCCCACAGAAAACAAAACACCGGGAGCCACAAAACCTGGGTGGGCGTGACCAACTCATGATGTCACTCACTCCCACCCAGCCACATGACCCTCCCCAGCCACGCCTACCAAGGTTTTGTGGCTCCCGGTATTTTCTTTTCTGTGGGAAACAGGTATCTCTCTCCCTCTCATCTCTCTCTTTCTCCCTCTGTCTCTCTCATATCTCTTTCTCCCTCTCTTTCTCTCTCTCATCTCTCTCTCTCTCTCACATGTGTGTGTGTGTGTGCACGCGCGTTCCCTCTTGAACCATTTCCAAAAACAGGTGAGGGTTGTTGTCTTTTTCCCTGATGTTGTTCTTTCTTCTTCTTTGGGTGCTTTTTACCATATGATTTAAATCAAGAGTCATTTCAGGTTCCCAGATAAATGAAGCTCTTTCATCCCCCTGCTATGGCTTCTTGTCAGCTGAACCCATCACTGGTTGCCCCGCCCTTCACCCTCCCCTCCCAGTCACTCCTTGCCTGCCCTTAGAAGGTAAGGGCGGCGGCGGCGGCGGATGGAGACTTGCTCCATATTCCAGAGTGGGAGAGAAGCGCCCCTGTACTTGTCTCTTCTTCCGGCCCTTGTTGGTGCTGCATGCACCTCGGTCGCTCGGGGAGACGCACAACTTTCTCTCTGCCCCGAGACATTGGCCCTTGGATGGAGATATACTTTCCCAGTCAAAACTAGTAGGCAACTTAGGGGTTCTTGTGAAATTGCAGCTACTGCTCAAAGAGCAGGAAGCAGTTGTGGCCAGGAGGTCCGATGCACAAGCACATCTTGTATGCCAGTTGTGTCCTTTCCTTGATTAGGAGACCCTTCAGACAATCATTCATGCCCTGGTTTCCTCAAGCTTTGATTACTGCAATATGTTTTATGTGGGGTTGTCCCTGGGACCAAATGGAAGCTATAGATGGTTCAAAATGCAGTGGCACAAGCAGTAATAAGTGCATCTTGATGTACCCATGTGACACCATTGCAAGCAAGCTGCATTGGCTGTCAGTTGGCTTGAGAATGCAATTCAAGGCTCTGTTATTAATAGTAAATCCCTGTATGGCAAAAGTCCTGGATACCTAGATGACTATTATCTTCAATAATTTCTACCTGCCAAGTATCTCCAGTAGAATGGGTGCACTCCAGGTCCCCTCCATTAAATTTTGCCATGTTGTGGGATCTAGGAAGTGTGCCATTTCTATGGTGGCCTCCACAGTCTGGAATAGCATCCACCCAGAGATAAGGAATTATTTCTTGTAGAGTTGCACAAAGGATTGACAACCTGGCTCTGGTCCCTGGATTTATGTTTGCCATTGTTTAATAGCCCCCTATTTTGTTTTGTGGGTTAGCAATGTTTCAGTTTGAGCTGCCTATTAATTTTGTTTCTCAGTTTTTTGTTTTATATACCAGCCAAGTCTACTGGAGTTGGATGGCCAATAAATTTGAATGAATGAATGAATGAATGAATGAATGAATGAAATCTTGTTATAAAGAATTGTGAGAGTTGAAATGAACTGTCAAGAGTCTGACATAAATTGCATTGTTACTTTTGCCAATATTTTTCTTTGAAAAGCATAGTCATTTCTCCTGAAACCAGAAAAAAAAAGTGAATTAGCAATAACTTACTTGTATTGTTTTTGTGATCTTTACAGCAGGAGATACTGTTTCCACAATGGTGTTCATGGTGGCTGCAACTGGCGCACTTCTTTTCAAACTAATTTTCTCTCTAGCATCAATAACTTTGGTCACCTTTTCTACACTCTGTTGTTTTCGGGAATTTAGCATCTCTCGGGCATCTTGAACTTTCCCTTTGATTTTGAACCTTGCGTCTTTCTGAAGCAGTTTCTCCCTGGCATCTTTCACACCAATTTTGTGCCTAGCATCAGTAATGCCAATCTTTTGACGTGCATCAAATGTCTGCTGAAAACCGACACTGGGTGATGATCTGTTTAAAAAGGTTTGTTGGTTTCCAATTCGAGATCTAATGCCTCCAAAGACTGGCCTCATGTTCAATCTGAAAGAGAAATGCCACAGATTAACTAAAGCTTTTCAATTAAAAAAACCAACACACAAATACTTCCAATTCATCATAGGAGGTTTGAATCGATAACAGATTTATAGTTCTTAATGAAAACGTACCATGTTGGTTTTGCCCATAATTCCAAGAAGTCTCTGAAACTGGTTTACAGTGTAAATGATATAGCCTATGTGCATCTTTTCCAGAGATGCACTTTTTAGATCAGAGGTCTTCAAACTTGGCAGCTTTAAGACTTGTGGACTTCAACTCCCAGAATTCTCCAGCCAGCACAGCTAAGCATAGCTGGCTGGAGAATTCTGGGAGTTGAAGTCCACAAGTCTTAAAGCTGCCAAGTTTGAAGACCTCTGTTGTAGATAATATGACAGTAAAATGTTTTCAGACACCTTTGCATTACATAGAACCAAGAGCCCCAGTACACCAAAAAAACAAAAAGCAAAACAAAACAAAACGGAAGAAAATCAGGTCATGCTGCAGGATTTAAAGATGGGGATAAGGGAAGCCACTTCTTGAGAGGGGGGGGGGGGAGGGCGGGACTGCTGGATACACTGGGGCTGGCGGGGACCCTTGAAAAGCTTCCTACTCAGCCCTCACCTACAGCATGTTGCTTCTGCTCCCCGCGTCCCGTGCCTTCCTGCCACCCGACACCCCCGCACTGCTCACAGTGGGTCAACAGAACCGAACTCTCTAGGAGGTTACGACTGACAAAACGATAAGCCAATCAGAAGACAGGATGTCGTTCTGGGCGGGCCTTCTCTCCCGGACACAGGACGGATCTTTTCTGCGTGCTACGATGGGGAGCGGGCCGCCAGGTTCCATCCTCGTAGTTTCTCTGCAGACTAATGGTTCTTTCCACTCACCTCCCTTTTGTATTGACACTGACGCCGCGCTTCTTGATCAGTTCATCCAAAGATAAATCCGCCATATTTTCTTTAGGCCCGGAGAAAAGTCGCAGCGACCGACTCCCGGACATGAGATGCAACTACTTCCGGTCTCACGCTTACACCCGTTTGTCTCAGCTTCTCGCGGCTTTAGACAAATCACGCGTAATAAAGAATTGGAGATTTTGCGGAGGCTACTTTCCCATAACCCAGAGCGACAAAAGTTTAATTTGCATGTATGAAATGAGATATTAGATGCATATTTTTTCCAGATTATAAAATATTTTTCTTATATTAGCGAGCCGGTGGTTACATAATAGAAATTTAAATGGTTAGAGTCGTTTTTATTTTGTCTTATACAGTTCACCCTCATGTCGAATAACTCTGTTGTCAATCACCTTTCCTCCGCTAGCTGAAAACAGTATGCCTTAAACTTATGAGTAAGGAAAATAACGATTCGGGGTGACGCCCGAGTCCTCACTAACAATGTGAGAGGAATTTTTGAGCGGGTACAGGTCGGCCCTGAGGTGACCCGCCTACTTAGCGGGATGCCTGGGTGTTCTGATCTGCCCGAAAGTCTATTGTGAAAATATTAAGAGAAAATGAATTTTGTGGCTGCCCGTTTGGTACGTTGTCTGTAGTTTGGAACTTACCTAGTTCTGCGTATTGATTCATTTTTTGAACGGTACGTTGTCAACCTCTCCCCTCCTTCGTCCCAACTTAAATCCTACATCAACCCACCTATTTTCTGCATTTGAAGAAAATGTATGCCTTTTAATAATATTTTAGCTGAAAGATACTATCCATGCTCCTCCTCGTTTGCCACCATGGCTCACCGACAATGAGATTTCCTAGTGTTTCAAGGATCAACCATGCCCTACTTATATCCTGGAGAAGATATTGGGTACGGTAAGTGGTCTGGTATTGGGCACGGTAAGTGGTAGGAATTGGAACATGAAAAACATTTACCATTCTTTACTGTATACTTTCAGTAATAAATATATGAGCCCAGTTGAAGTTATTTATCCATCTATTTTTTACAATAATAGTGTATAATACGTACACTTAACATTCAACAAGCCAGGACTCCTAATTTTTCACTGCTTAACATATACCGTATTTTAGCAAAATTCAGTTCACATCAATTCTTCACCAATTCTCTCTCATCTACTATTTAAAAAGTCTCCATGGGGTTCAATAGAAAATAAATCTTCATAATTAATTTGAGAGGGATTCATATTTTGTATTTTCTTGACTGTATTGATACCTAAAACAGCATAGAACCTCAAGTGTTAGAATTATGTCAGTTTTGCTACTATAACTGTAACTACTATAATCCCCCCAAAGGGTTTTCTTTGCTCATAAGTAGTAAATCAATTTTTCCATATTTTAGGATATCCTTAAGTCTATATGCTGCACCCCATACACCTACAACTCATGCTTCACCTTTTATGAGTGTTAAACCAACAGTTCAATTGAACAAAGCACAAGCACTAACAGAAATAGATTTGGAAAATGAAAGGACATTGATCAGAAAATTAACATGTTCTTCAAAATTTAACTTTTAAAAAATGAATTCAGTGAAATTGAATTCAGCAAACTATGACTTAAAGACTTCAAATCAGCAGATAAATATGAGGATGAAAGTTCATTCTCCAAGCTTGCGGGTTGGTTTCCAAATGTTTGCTTACCAGGTAAGTAACATCTTCAGTGGAGTTTAGGAGATGTCCGTGTGATGGGTCAAGTGTGGTGTGTCAAGTGAGAGTCTTATGTCAGGCCAGGTATGAGTCATCAGTCTTGTGATGGGGAGGTTACATCCGGTGAGAGTCATTAGGAGGTATAATGCTTGGTTGAGGGTTGGTGCATCTGGTTGGCTTTGCAGTTGATTTGGATTCTGAGGGGTTCATAGGCTGGTTATAGATCAATGTGTCTGTTGATGAAATTGTTTGTGGAGTGCCAGACTTCAATGAACTCACAAGTGTGGCAGGTGGTAGTGTGGCCAATTATTTTTGTATTACTCCAATTAAACTGGTGCTGGTGTGGGTGGAGATTAAGGATTTGAGATCATGGCATTTAACTGCCAGCCGGTGTTCATGGATCGTGGTTTTTAATTGATGTGACATTTATCCCACATAGAATTGGTTGCAATTAGTTGATTTTGTAGATTACATTGTTTCTTCTGTATCTTGTCTTTGGTTCTGGATAATTCCTGGTGGAGTGTGGCTGTGGGTTTGTGGGCTATTGCTATTCCTAGGGGTTGGAGAATTCTGGCTGTTATTTCTTGACACCTTTTGTGTATGGTAGGGTTAGTTTTTGTGTGGTGGTTGGCTGTGTAGCGTATTGTGGTTTGGGTGCTGTGTGTCAGAATATGAAGTTTTTTGGATAGCTGTTACAGAGAAAGACATCAGTCATTTCTCTTCCGCTTTTCTTAAGTGTTGTGGTGCTGCAGTGTGTCCTGGCCCTTCTGAAAAGGGTCTGGACACAGCTTTTTTTGTGTGCAGTGGGGTGGTTGCTTGAGAAGCTGAAGATCTGGTCTGTATTCATCGGTTTGCGCTAGACAATTCTCTGTTGTCTCATATCCTTATGTTGATGTCTAGGAATGGGAGTCTGTTATCTATTTTCTCTTTGCATGTGAATTTGATCCCAGGGAATGTTATCGATAGGTGGTATGTTTCTTCAATTTGGGATCGTTTGATAATGAATGCAGCGTGTCCCGAATTTTGGTTGGATAGTGGTAGAGCTATGGATTCAAACTGTTGCAGGACTGCTTCTGCTATTAGGCCTGATATCTGTGATCCTATCAGGGTACCTTGTAATTGCTTATAGATTTTCCCGCTGAAATGTGTTGAGGCATAGCTCCAAGAGTTTCCTGATAGTTTCTGTGGACATGGAGTGTTCTGTGGTGTCATCATCTTTTTGGATATGGTGTTTAGTGAGTAGGTGGTGTATGGTTTGTTTAGCCAGATCAATGTCAATCGAGAAGAGCGGTGATGTCGAAGGAAACCATTTCTTTCTTATTGATCTTGGTGTGCTGGGGAGTTTGAGTGGGTTGAGTCGTTGACCAGGTGTCTGAGTTTCCTCTGTAGGGTTCTTGCTACATCGTATGTCAATGTTCCAGGGAGAGACACAATTGGGCATGAGGGGATCCCATTCTTGTGTATTTTGGGGAGTCTGTAGAACCTGGGTGTGGAGTCTTGTGGTTGCATATGCTTTCTTTCTAGTGGTGTTAGCCATTTTTTTCCCCTTAGGGTGTCTTTTATTTTGTTCTCTAGCTGTTTTGTTGTATCATTGTGGATTATTTGGTAGGTGTTGGTTTTGTTTAGATGGTTTTCAGCCTTGCTGATGTCAGTTTTGTCCATTACTGCCTTTGTCTGCTGGTAGGACAATGCTTTCGTCTTGTTTCAGTGTCTTTAGTGCTCTTTTCCTTTTGGATGTGTTTTGTCTGTTGCACTGCACGTTGGGGATGTTTTGTCTGACGTCTTGTGTTTCTTGGTCCAGGTGGTGTGTCTTTGGAATGGATTTAAATGGGGTCAGCATCTTTGTGGTTGAAATTGAGGCCTTATGTAAGGATAGTCTTTTCATTGTCACAGACAACAGATAGAACACTGACCCTGACATCCCCTAAACTCCACTGAAGATGTTATCTAACCTGGTAACAAAACGTTCAGAAACCAACCCACAAGCTCAGAGAACCTTCCCCTAATCCTACACCCGAGCTATAGATATTCGCCGTATTGCGGAGATATTTAGATCATTTCCTGCTATTGGAAAAAGTAGTTTGTAGTTTTTGTCCAATATATAAAATTGGAATCATATAATTCTGCAGAATTACAAAAGCAAAGATGTTGAAAGGAAAACAAACAAGCAAGAGCCTTGGTAGTACAGTGGTCTAAGGCACCCTGTTATTAAGCTGGTTATTAAGACCAGCTGCCTGCAATTACTGCAGGTTTGAATCTCGCCAAGGCTCAAGGTTGACTCAGCCTTCCATCCTTTCTAAGGTAGATAAATTGAGGACCCAGTTGTGGGGGCAATAAGCTGACTTTGTATAAATATACAAAAGAATGAAGGCTATTGCTTAGCGCATTGTAAGCCGCCCTGAGTCTCTGGAGAAGGGCGGCATATAAATCAAATTAAAAAAAAAATAAAATGGAATGTTGACTGACATGAAAAACTGCAATGAAAACTTGTCTAAGGAGTTAAAAGAGCTCATCCTGACACCTCTAAGGGAAGGCTATAAGGTGAGACTAAAGAACATCAACATTACTATTATTTAGAAGCTATTCTAAAGCATTTTCTGAGATTTTGAATAAAAAAAAACTATTCGATTGTTATTTTAAGTCTTTTTGTATTTATGCAGTCCTTTTAAGCTTTCCAAACTTCAGCCATTCTATAAAAAAGCTACATGATACATGATTTCAAAATCTACTGAAGTTAGGAATTGTTTAACTATATGAAAAATACTTTTGACATGCAGCTAATTCAAGCAGTGATTATTGAAACACTTCAAAAATAGATTATTTTACATTTCCCTGTTACATTTTCCTCTCTAAGGTAACATGAAGCATATCCTGAAGGCAAATTGTTGTGAAAATGAATAGATTTTTCTCATTTTTTAATAATAGAGTTATGATCAGTCAAGGAAACTGAATGGTAGAATATTTAGAAAAAGATATTGCTGTATATAGTATGAATTTGCTTTCACTAATAGTGAAGATCACCCAAAAGTTCTTTTTCAAACTTTCAAAAATTATAAGAATGTGCAATATGAGGTTATCAAAACCTATTTTGGAATAATGTTTGTATATTTCTAGAAGAGCATTTCAAACCTAACATATGAAATTATGAATGTAATATGCAAATTATGTGTTCCTAATATATAGAAACTGTCTAATTCATTAATATGTATCTTGTATATGGTCAAATTTAGCTTACATCTTAAACACAACTTATCCAAACAAAATACTGATATCATTTGCTACCTACTAAATTCAGAAAACAATTTAAACAAAAAAAGGAGCACTCAATTATTAATTGAACCAAATATCAATCCCAGTTTAAGGAATTCGTTTTAGAGTTGTTAAATACTCTGATATATAGTCACTACACAAATTTTTAAAAGAACTTTTAAATAGATAAGACTAAAAAAAAAAAGTAATTTTCATGAGTTAAGAAGCTGAACTACCATCACCAGATCAGAATAAAATATTTTTGGAAGGATGTGATGAAAAAGTCTTATCTTTTCCTATTAATTCTACAAAATGATACCTTTTACCCAATTTATATTGTTACTGAAAAGTTAAATGTTTTACAAGCTCATTTTCAACAGCAATAATATATTGGATGTATTAGTTTGTAAAACATTTTTTTTAAAGAGAAAATCTATTATTTGATATTATATACACATTTAGACAATGCTGGGTTGTGTAAATTTTGAAATAAGTGCAAGGCACTATATTCTGAGGAAGGGTATGTATCTGTTACTGAAAATAAATTTTTATATCTACATTGAAAAAATTCCAAGTGCATATACTGTCACTTTGTAAATTTAAAACTCCACAATAGCCCTGATTAACATATTAGTTAACTATTAGATTGATCAACTAAGCATCATTTGACAATAATGAATTTTGTACTTGTCATTTCAAAGAATTTTAAAAACAAAATTTGTTAGGATTAGTTAATCATCTAAGGACAGCAAGGAAAGAACAAAGTTAGTTTGTGGGTTTCACTGATATACAGTTGCAAGAAAAAGTATGTGAACCCCTTGGGATTACGTGGAATTTTGCATGAATTGGTCATAAAATGTGCTCTGAACTTCATCTAAGTCACAACAATAGAAAAACACAGTCTGCTTAAAATACTACTACACAAACATTAGATGTTGCCATGGTTTAATTGAACATAACATGTAAACATTCACAGTGCAGGGAGGAAAAAGTATGTGAGCCCCTAGCCTAATGACTTCTCCAAGAGCTAATTGGAGCCAGGAGTGAGCCAACCTTGCCGCCAATCAGTGTGATGATATTGGATGTGTTGCTGATAGCTGTCCTGCCCTTTAAAAACACACACCTGTTTTGGGTTTACTGGTTTCAAGAAGCAGTCTGATGTCAACCATGCCTCGCAGAAAAGAGCTCTCAGAAGACCTACGATCAAGAATTGTTGACTTGCATGAAGCTGGAAAGGGTTACAAAAGTATCTCCAAAAGCCTTGATGTTCATGTGTCCACGGTAAGACAGACTGTCTACAAATGGAGAAAGTTTAGCACTGTTGCTACTCTCCCTAGGCATGGTCGTCCTGTAAAAATGACTGCAAGAGCACATAAGGTATGCTTATGTGAATGCTTCATAAGGTAAAGAAGAATCCTAGAGTGTCAGCTAAGGACCTACAGAAATCTCTGGCACATGCTAACGTTTTTGTTGACACACCCACAATAAGGAAAACATTAAACAAGAATGGAGTACATGGGAGGACACCACGGAGGAAGCCATTGCTGTCCAAAAAAAATATTGCAGCACATTTGAAGTTTGCAAAAGAGCATCTGGATGTTCCACAGCACTACTGGCAAAATATACTGTGGACAGATGAAACCAAAATTGAGTTGTTTGGGAAGAACACACAACACTATGTGTGGAGAAAAAAGGCACAGCACACCAACATCAAAACCTCATCCCCACTGTAAAACATGGCGGAGGGAGCATCATGATTTGGGGCTGCTTTGCTGCCTCAGGGCCTGGACGGATTGTTGTCATTGATGAGAAAATGAATTCCAGAGTTTATCAAGACATTTTGTAGGAAAACGTACAACTATCTGTCCACCAACTGAAGCTCCGCAGAAGATGGGTGATGCAACAGGACAATGACCCAAAGCATACAAGTAATTCAACAAAAAAATGGCTTCAACAGCACAGAATACGCCTTCTGGAGTGGCCCAGTCAAAGTCCTGACCTCAACCCGATTGAAATGCTGTTGCATGACCTTAAGAGAGCGATTCACACCAGACATCCCAAGAATATTGCTACAGTGAAACAGTTTTGTGAAGAGGAGTGGTCCAAAATTACTCCAGATCGTTGTGCAGGTCTGATCTGCAACTACAGGAAATGGTTGGTCGAGGTTATTGCTGCCAAAGGAGGGTCAACCAGTTATTAAGTCCAAAGGTTCACATACTTTTTCCTCCCTGCACTGTGAATTGTTTACATGCTATGTTCAATTAAACCATGGCAACATCTAATGTTTGTGTAGTATTATTTTAAGTAGACTGTGTTTTTCTATTGTTGTGACTTAGATGAAATTCAGAGCACATTTTATGACCAATTCATGCAAAACTCCACGTAATCCCAAGGGGTTCACATACTTTTTCTTGCAACTGTAGTTTTGCTTAACTTTGAGGAATAGGTTCATCATTACAAAAGCTATTAAATCATAAAAAAAGGATCTGAAGCAGTTTCAGCTCCGGATCCAGATATTAAATTTTGTGACAAATTAATGGAAGGTATTTATACATACTTGGGTTGTTGATGATATATATTTATGCAATGTTATCTTTGATAATAAATTTTTCTCCTCTGTCTAAAATGTCTATTGGAGTGTCAGTGTACAATTCAGTTGTTAAAACTTACCTCCTCAAAGAAAGCTGTATTCCATATGTATAGAAATATGAATTACATAAAGTATTTTAGACTTAGTCTGTGTTTCACAATTTTTTCAGTAAACTCATCAACAATATGTATGAAACATTACCTTTCAAATAAATACGAGAACAGATTTTCAGATTTAATTGAAAAAAGTATTGATGTGAGAAGCATGCACTTCAATTGTTAAGAGGGAGTGGGAACACACAGCTATTTCACTGGACAAAAATTATTTTTTTGCTTACTTTATTATTTTTTGCTGTTTACAATTAGGGATGTGCAGTTAACACACCACAAGGAAAAAAAAACAGAAAAATCATTTTGAAAGAAAAAACAAATATACTGAACATAGACCAATTAAATTGTACAAAGACATGGGACTGGCTTTGATTTCAAAGTTTCAAAAAAAAATTTTAAAGGATGAAATGCAACAGCTGTTTGACTTCCAAGTCTAAATAGGCACTGTAAAAATAAAATTTAAAAGTTGTCATTTTCTTCAGCACATGTCCCCAACCTAAACATTGCCAAACATGTTCAGTTCTCAAGAAGGAACTGAGAACTCAATCTTCTGGTGGTAATAAAAGCCTGGAACCCACTCAACCTCTTTAAAAATGATTCAGTGCTGCTGTTTGACAGAATAAAACTAGAAGAGCTTATAAAGGTTTGAAAGCATCCAAAGCAAAGAGCACACTATAGTTTTGTTTACTATAACCTGTATTGGAGAAGAAAACATTTAAATCTATTATGTTGGTACATAAACCTGGTATCTTGAAGATAGATCATTGAAAATATGTCTTACAAGTTTACTGGAGGAGAAGAAAAAAGGAAACTGCTTCACTTATCATCAATTGAATTATCAATGGAAACGGATCAATTCAGACTTCATTATAACCATGTTTATACACTGTACATCTATCCTAGATGGATAAACATTGGAATTGCTCACTGGTGTCCCTTTTAATAACTGTAAACTAAACCACAGTATGCAACTTCATAGGAAGGTAAAGGATCAAGTGAATGTACAGCCAGTTATATCTCTCCTGCTTCACGCTCCTCTGAGCTTCTCCTGTCTTCTGATCGACCATTTGCACTTTCATAAGATCGCTTCCTTTCTTTGCAGTTTCGATCTCTTGGAGATTTTTCTCTGGGGCAACTTTCTTTGTCACGTGATGTTCTGTTATGATCTCTGGTTCGTTCTTGATCTCTGGAAGATCTTTCTTTTGATGATCTGAAGAAAAAAACAATGCATCTGAAAATGTACATTACTTTCATTTGATTTTAACTGTTCATTAAGCCTACCAGAGCATAAAACAGCACAATTATCATTGTGTATCATTTCCAAAATTGGAATGGAAAGAACACAGAGCCTAACATAATTAGAAAAAATATTAAACTGAAATCACTAATTTTATTTTTCAAGAGTGTAAAAGTTGAAAAAGTCAAATGAATGCTATCCAGTATATTTTTCTTATAGTAATTAAAATATTTACGGATACTGTTTAAAGTGTCACTAATGTACAGAATGCTTCAGCTACTAGAAATGATGCAGATCCGCAATGCCACAGACTCAATTTACATGTACAGTGAGGGAAAAATGTACTTGATCTCCTGCTGATTTTGTACGTTTGCCCATTGACAAAGAAATGATCAGTCTGTAATTGTAATGGTAGGTATATTTTAACAATGAGAGACAGAATAACAATAAAAAAATCCAGAAAAACGCATTTCAAAAAAGTTATAAATTGATTTGCATTTTAATGAGTGAAATAAGTATTTCACTCTATCAATCAGCAAGATTTCTTGTTCCCAGGTGTCTTTTATACAGGTAACGAGCTGAGATTAGGAGCACTCTCTTAAAGGGAGTGCTCCTAATCTCATCTTGTTACCGGTCCACAGAAGCAAGCAGTGAATCAGTTTCTAAACTCTCCACCATAGCCAAGACCAAAGAGCTGTGCAAGGATGTCAGGAATAAGATTGTAGACCTACAAAGGCTGGAATGGGCTACAAGACTATCGCCAAGCAGCTTGGTGAGAAGTTGACAACAGTTGGTGTCATTATTCGCAAATGGAAGAAACTTATCTTGTGGAGATTCAATTATCACGAGAAAGGTGAGGAATCAGCCAAGAACTACATGGAAAGATCTTGTCAATGATCTCAAGGCAGCTGGGACCACAGTCACCAAGAAAACAATTGGTAACACACTACGCCATGAAGGACAGAAATCCTACAGCATCCGCAAGGTCCTCCTCCTCAAGGAAGCACATGTACAGGCCCATCTGATGTTTGCCAATGAACATCTGAATGATTCAGAGGAGAACTGGATGAAGTGTTGTGGTCAGATGAGACCAAAATCGAGTTCTTTGGCATCAACTCAACTCGCCGTTTGGAGGAGGAGGAATGCTGCCTATGACCCCAAGAACACCATCCCCACCGTCAAACATTATGCTTTGGGGTTTTGTTTCTGCTAAGGGGACAAGACAACTTCACCACATCAAAGGGACGATGGATGGGGCCACCGTCATATCTGGGGTGAGAACCTTCTTTCCTCAGCCAGGGCATTGAAAATGAGTCGTGGATGGGTATTCCAGCATGACAATGACCCAAAACACACGGCCAAGGCAACAAAGGAGTGGCTCAAGAAGAAGCACATTAAGGTTCTGGAGTGGCCTAGCCAGTCTCCAGCCTTAATCCCATAGAAAATCCGTGGAGGGAGATGAAGGTTCGAGCTGCCAAATGTCAACCTTTAAACCTTAATGACTTGGAGAGGATCTGCAGAGGAGTGGGAGAAAATTCCTCCTGAGATGTGTGCAAACATGGTGGCCAACTATAAAAAATATCTGACCTCTGTGATTGTCACCAAGGGTTTTGCCACCAAGTACTAAGTCATATTTTGCGAAGGGGTCAAATACTTATTTCACTCATTAAAATGCAAATCAATTTATAACTTTTTTGAAATGTGTTTTTCTGGATTTTTTTTGTTGTTATTCTGTCTCTCACTGTTAAAATAAACCTACCATTAAAATTACAGACTGATCATTTGTTTGTCAGTGGGCAAACATACAATCAGTAGGGAATCGAATACTTTTTCCTCTCACTGTAAGTAACATACTTATAAAAGTTAAAGCTGAACATGGAGATCAGACCTGGAATTTTGACTAATTGAATAAACGGGCAAAAAAATCAAAAGAAAAAATTAGTTTTGAAATGTAATTTCAAGGAAGACTGAATGCTGAAAAAATACCTAGGAGTTGATGAATTCACCTGAGACTGGCTTGTAAACAGAAATTAACCACAATCACATAGCCAAATTTAATTCTATCAATTTCTGGTAATACTGCAATTTATTTCTGTAGCTTTGAAGACCTTAGTTTGTAAAGTTACTACTTTAGGTATTTAACTTTATTGCCTACTTTAATTAGGTAAATTAAGCCTAAACACATACTGAATATAAACTGATATAGCACATTTAAGTGAATTGAAATTATTCAAGACTGAACAAAAAGTCCCAAAGTGGAATATAAACTAAAAAATTAAATTAAAAAATGTTACAAACCAAATCATGCCACCGTGTTTTCCCCGAAAATAAGACATGCCCCGAAAATAAGGCCAAACCTGATTTTTGGGTAAGTGTAAATATACGCCTCCCCCCAAAATAAGCCCTAGTGAAGGGGTGGGTGTGGCTAGCACAGGAGATAGCCCTTCCCTTCCCCGGTCACCTCAGGGCTTCTCGACCCCTTAATTGGATCAGCTGAGCTGCTCCAACTGCCATTCATGAAACAACTGATTCGTGTTGCTGCTCAGGCTGGCGCCTCCAACAAGCGTGGCTGCATTTGCAGCCAATTGCGGCTGCAAAAGAAGCCGGAGGCCAAGCAACACACCCCACAGGCCTCGTACCCTCCTTACCTAATGGTGACAGTCACAGCAGGCAATTCCATCCACGGAACAGCTGCCTTATGGGTGCCGCTCCGGCCGGCGCCTCCAGCAAGAGTGGCCGCTTTTGCTATCAATTGCGGCCAGTTCTGCAACAAGAGGCCAAGCGATGTGCCCCATGTGCCTTGTGCTGGACTTCCGAAGGGTACTGTAGCAGCAGCTATCCACAACTTTTTTACCCTTATTTTGTCCTGACCATACTGGGTCACGTGGGTCGGGATGAAATAAGGGTCAAAAAATTGTGGATAGCTGCTGCTACAGTACCCTTCGGAAGGCCAGCGCAAGGCGCAAGTCTTCTGCTGCACAAATGGCTCCACCAGAGGAGCAGAGAAGACAAAGGGAGAGAAGGCAAAGGGGAAGCGATCGCTTGCAAACTCCCACCCCGCTCCCACCTCTCTACCAGGCAACCCTGGCAGCCCCAGACGCCCAAAGCCTGCGCGGCTCCCTTTTCCACAGTGCCCGGTTCTTTATCAAGGGGGATGGCAGGTGGGGTGTGGGAGAAGCGAGACGCATGGAACGAGACAGGGCTCGCTCCTCTTGCCATCTCTTCTCCCCCTCTTGCCGGGCATGGCAGGGCTTCCTGCCCCTGCCCAAATTGGATGCAATTTGGGGGTGGCAGGTGGGGAGGGGTGGGGCGACGTGAGGTGTGTCTTACCTGCCTTGCAGCTCCGTTGCATGTCTTGCCGTTGTCTGCAGGCAAACACCTTGCAGGGATGGCGGGAGCGGGGCAGAAGTTTGCAGGTGAGGGGGATGGATGGATGGGAGACAGGCGAGTGCCAAGAACGCTGAGGATATTCCCACCTTTGTGTGCCCCACCAAACAGCTGACAAGTGGCTGTGTTGCGCTGCCACAGCAGCACAACACAGCAGCAGCCATGAGGTGCCCACGCTCGCTGCCTCCTGCACTCCCAAAATAATAAGACCCCCCTGATATTTCAAAAAATAAAAAATAAAAAAATTAGACAGGGTCTTATTTTTGGGGAAACACAGTAGGAAATTGAAATTTAGGCTACACTCTTATATTGACTTTTTAATATTGCTTTTGAATTTATTGATGTTATTGGTGTTCCCTTCCAAGTTGATAAATGTAGAATTTTATATTAAACTCTTAAAAAAGAACTTGCTGCAAATATCTCCAGAATTCCATTTCAGTCAATAGCTATTTTTGATTTATGTCTGTTTAACAGCTGTTCAAAGTTACAATGGCCTTGGAAAAAGGGACTTACACCATGTACTTCCATTTAAGGCTGTTGTACCACCCTTTGGCCATCTAATTACAATTCAGCAGTTGGACAATCTGTGTTTATGACTCGTTGCATCCTTTGGGTCACATCATTGCGATTTGCTACCTTTTTTGCCAATTTCCAGCCCCACCCCCCAAAAAATCATTTGGGAAGCCAGATTTGCTTAATGACCATGTGATTTGTTTAACGACTGTTGTAAAAACTGTTGTAAAATCGGGTCCAACTCAATTTATGGCTGCACAACTTTTACCAGTCTCAACTGTGATCTTAAGTCAATGATTACCTGTATTCTATTCAGTTTCCCATGTTCTTCCAAAATGACCTAGTTTTTTTTATTGACAAGTGAGAATGTAATTTCTCACTGACTTATTAGAGTAGGGGTAGGAATGAATTTGTCTCCTGAGATTTCTTCCCACTTCTGCAAACCTTGTCAATCTTCCAAACATGCTGATATTTCCTTGTTTAATTATAGCTACCCTAAGTTTGCACCTGAGTTGACTATAATTAAAAGCTTTTGAAGTACACTGTTCCAATGTACCTATAATAAACAAAATGGAAAAAAAAACCTTAGCTACTGTTGAAGATAGGTTGATGGCTTAAGTGTAATCTTTTCTGTTCAAAAGCTAACAAAATGCCAACTACTCATTAAAATATTACCTTTTTTTGGAATTGGGTTCTCTGCTTCTGTCTCTGGAGCTCTGCCTGCTCCTTTGGTGACTGCGACTGCGGCTGCGACTAGTAGAACGAGACCTATGACGATGTCGCTTTTCACGGGACCTGGAACGGGTTCTTTTCTTTCGTTCACGGGAGGATGACCGAGATCGATGTCTACGGCGATCTCGGGATCTAGATCTGAATAATTTTTTTTTTACAGTGGATGAGAAGAAATCCTTAATAATTCAATTAACCCCTAACAATTCTATTAGGCCAGTCATAAAAGGAAAATACCTTATTGGAACAATTTCTTTTGCCAAGATTTTGAAAAGTTTGGAGACTGCTGGAGTGCTTTATATGAAATAAGGAGTTGTTTAATATTAAAGTTTAAAAGTCTTGAAGTTTAATTAACGGTGGTTGATTAAAAACAAATAAAAACAACACTCTTGTTACATGCCACTGGCAAGACCGTGGCAGGCATACCCTAGTATTAAGCAGACACATCACTGAGGAATTTCTAACTTAAAATAAGTCACAAGGAAATTGAAATAGAACACTTTAGATCTAGATATAAACAAATTTTCAATAGTTTAAAAACAGTAATCAGTTCAATCAAATAGCAGGTGACAGCAGCTAACTAATTTTGGGTGATCTTGTACAAACGAAGAGTTAGCCCTAGGTAGCACTTGGAGGAAAGACCATTAGGTTATAAGCAAAACCTGCACATTTTAAAAAAAATTCTCAAACGCAGCAGTAGCAAACCAATTCTATTCTATTACCAAGAAAAAATACATGAAACATACACTCTGTGCACAATTATTAGCCAAGCTGTATTTTTGAGGATTAATTTTATTATTGAACAACTACAGTGTTCTTGGTCAATCCAAAATGTTAATAAAGCTCAAACCTGAATATTTAAAAAAGTAAAAGTGAGGTTATGGCTTTCTTAGGAGAATATCTATGTGTGCACAATTATTGGGCAACTATTAGCATGCAGAATTATTATGAACCTAAATGAAAAATGAAAATTTTCCCATTTCACTCATTTTCATCTGTTAAAGTGAGAATAATAAACAAACAACTCAAAATTTACAAATAAACATTTGACAGTTCAAAAAACAAAAAACAAAAACAAAAACTAATCAGTGACCAATATAGCAACTCTTCTTTTCAATAACAGTCACAAGCCTTCCATTCATGGAGTCTGTCAGTTTCTTGATCTGTTGACGATCGACTTTTTGTGCAGCAGCAACCAGTCTCCCAGACATTGTTCAGAGAGGTGCACTTTTTCTTCACCGTAAATCTCCCATTTAGGAAGGGCCCACAAGTTCTCAATAGGTTCAGGTCAGATGAGGAAGGGGGGGCAGGACATATTTTTTCATCTTTAAGACCTTTACTAGCTAGCAGTGGAGTGCGTGCAGTGGAGTATTTCGATGCATGCGATGGAGCATTGTCCTGCATAAAAATCATGGTGGTCTTGAAAGATGCAGACTTTCCTGTACCACTGCTTGAAGAAAGTGTCTTCTAAAACTGGCAGTAGGTTTGGGAGTTGATTTTAAGTCCATCTTCAACCCGAAAAAGTCCAACTAGCTCATCTTTAATAATACCAGCCCATACCAGTACCCCTCCTCCACCTTGCTGGTGTCTGATTTGAAGTGGAGCTCTGTGCCCATTACTGATCCAGTCACAGGCTCACCCATCTGGTCCATCAAGTATCATTCTCATCTCATCAGTCCATAAAACCTTTGAAAAATCTGTCTTCAGATATTTCTTGGCCCAGTCTTGCTGTTTCAACTTAAGTGTCTTGTTCAGTGATGGTCGGGTTTCAGCCTTCCTCACTTTGGCCGTGTCTCTGAGCACTGAGCACCTTGTACTTCTGGGCACTCCAGTTCTGGAATATGACAGCACTGGAGGATAATGGATTCCTGGTAGCTTCACATTTGATTCTTCTGAAAATCTTTGGCAGTTATATGTGCCTTTTTTTCTCAACATGAGTCTTGTGACCCTGTTAACTATTTGCAACAAAACGTTTGATGGCTGTGTGATCACGCCCCAATATCTTAGCAATTTCAGGAGTGCCGCATCCCTCTGAAAGACTTTTTACAATTTTTGACTTTTCAATGTCAGTTAAATCTCTTTTTTAGCCCATTTTACCTGAGGAAAAGAAGCTGCCTAATAATTATGCAGACCTTGATATAACGTGTTAATCTCCTTAGGCCACACCCTCCCTCATTACACATCACCTGATATGCTTATGCCAACTAAGCATTCAGGTTTATACAGCTTGGAGGTGGAAAATATGCATAAAAATGATGATATAGTCAAAATACTCACTTGCCTAATAAATGTGCACAGGGTGTACATGCATATAGGAGGAGTCAAATGTGAGTCTAAGTAGTTTCGGTGGGGTCTTTCGTGCTCTCTGAATTTGGTAGGTTTTTTTGCAGATGTTTCATTACCACAATGAGCTAATTAATACAATGAGTGCTGATGATGTTACCTAATTTGGTAATGAAAGGTTTGCAAGAAAACTACTAAGCTCAGAGAGACCAAGGACCTCCAATTCAACCCTGATCTTCAAATATTTTCTTCTATTGCTAAGAAATCTATATCTTCTGTTTTAAACCTCAAGAAATGTTACCTACTACCTTATCAAAATCTTTAAAACTCAGCATTGTTAACTGTTATTGTACCTACAGTTAACTAAAGTATTTGCTTTTAAACCTTTGGAAAAGGTAATCTTGTGTAGTATCATAAAAGTAAACATATTCTATTTTTATTATGGCTATTTTCAGGGTGGATTTGATTTAAATCAACTCGATTTAAATCACAATTTAAATCACTAGTAAAAAGGCTTGATTTAAATCAACTCAATTTAAATCATAATTTTTAAAGAACAACTGTCATCTCTGTCCCGCAGTGGCTCCTCTGACTCGCTGTTGACTCACCGACAGTCCCAATATTGCAGAATATACAACCTCATGCTACATAATTAAGCTCCATTTCATGCTGAATAAACTAAATTATTAATGTATCTTAAATAGAAAACTATCTTTAGATAGATTTTTACTCCAAAAGCATTTTATTAAAATAAATTTAATAAAAATAAAAAAATCTGATTTAAATAAAAAAAAATCAAATTTAAATGTTTTTTAATTTTTTTTAAAAAAAAAATCATCAATTTTAATCCACCCTGGCTATTTTCATATCTTCAATAAACCCAGTCATACTACTTCTAAAAAAACACATGGCTCCAGAAATAGATTTCAGAGATAGATTTTTAAACTTTTTTAGAAGACTAATACTTGGGGGGTGGGAGCCTTGGATTGAGATTTGCATCTGGAAGCTCAAGCAGAAATTTTGATAGAGCCTTTCAGCCATCAAGTTGGTATGTCAGTATTATCCATTCCTGGTGGCATCAGACCTGGCTCCAATAAAAATTGCCTCAGTTACATTCAGCCAGAATTGCTCAACTTGATGCTATCTTTGGGGTCTTCAAAAACTATGGAGCAATAAGAATACTACTGAGCACTCTCTTGCTGGACTATAATTCACTAGTACATTACAGCTAATGGTATGACACCAATTACTATTTTGCTTCTAGGTCCAATTCATAATGCTGTGTATGACCTTTAATGAGTAGATTATGGACTCCATGAAATCTAACACGGTGACAATCTCTATCTTCCTGGAGACAAAGAAATGGCTTTCTTAGTGGCTGGACCAATAAGGCACTTCTAGTTCAGGAAGATGAACTGGCACTCCCTCTAGTGGCATTTCATTTTTAGGTAGGCATTTATATTCACAGGCAATGTGAATTTTAGACAATCTGCACCTGCCTATTTTGTAAGTTTTATTAGATTTATTTAAAATCTCCCCTGACTTAAATAATTGTCTCAAGTATTTACTGTATGTCGTATAATTATAGTACAAAAAAATCACAATGGGTTTGCTTTAAGGAAAACCTTTCTTAATGTTTGTTAGATATAACTGCTTATATTCACAGAGAAAAAAAGACCATCCTACCTTTTGGGGTTCTTGCTGTGAGAACGAGATCTAAAAATAAAGAAAAAATATGTACATTATTTCAGGATTGATATATGTATTTAATATTTATTTGTATTTTTATCAAATTTAGAAATTGTCCCTCTCCCTCACAAAACAATATCAACATACAGGTAGTCCTCAACCTACAAGTCTCTTAGCGACCGTTCAGAATTACAACAGACACCCCAACAGGTACTTATGTCCCAGTTCCAAAGTTATACCTGCGGCAGCACCCCTATAGTCATTTGCCCTTATGACTGACTGCAGAGATGCTACAGCACCCCAACTATTCCTCAACCATCGTGCCTCACTGGGTCCCCGCAGGCACTGGGCCTGCTTTGCCACCCCACTGGGCTCCACACACTCCTCCCCACCCTGGTCACTATTTGCTTACTTATCTTTCAAAGATATACACAGCTCAGGAAGTCGGGATAGAAAAGGAGGTCAGGCTTCTCTGTTGCTGGGCCACATGGCATAATCAAAGAGAAGCCCTGCCATCACTTTTCATCACTAGTCTTGGCTCCCCCAGGATTAGCTAGGCTAGCACTGCTAATACTGGGAGAGCTAAGGCTAGTGCTACTGAGGAGAAAAATTGCTGGCTTTCCTCTATCACTTTTCTTAGTTCCCCCAGTATTAGCATAAAATTAGCGTAGCTAATGCTAGGGAGTTAAAACTGTATAGCCATGCAGGATTTCTTCTCTTTGATTATGCGACATGGCCCAGCAATAGAATGGCCTATCCTCTTTCCCTATCATGACTTCCTGAGCTCTGAGGATATTTGAAATATAAATGTGCAATTGTAATGGAGTGGGGTAGGGAGGAGGTCCATAGGGTTATGGTGATCTTTGGGAGGCGTGATGTAGATGGGCTTGTGGCTGCATTAGGCTTCTCAGGGTCATTCCCACCTGAGGCACTCCCTGCTCTACTTCACAACCCGTATGTTCATTTAACAAATAAATTGGGCAGAGCAGGGATGGAAGGGAGGATCATTAATGAGGCCTTCCTGACTTTCAACCATAATGGGCAGGCTCCATTACCATCGTAACTCGAAGAGTATCTCTATTTTAATGTTAATATTAAAAGGTAACTCAGACAAATAAAAATTTTTCCATGGGAAAATAAACCCCTAGATTTTCTTTATCTAATTACAACTATCATATCAATCTGGTTTTCAAATTTATTGGTTGGCATTTAGCATTTTTAAATGGAATTTAAGTGACTAAGTTGAAAAGCCATTATGTGGACAAGTTATTATTTCTTCCTTTAGATACATGGCAAAGGCATGATTCCATGTTTACCTATTTACCTATTGTATTTCTTGTAAGGAATATTTGGAAATTGATAGGACATATATTCATTCTTATTCACATGATAAATATATGCACAGCGATAATTCCAGTTTGAAAATTACAACTAATTTTTCTGAAGGAGCAGATAATTAATTAACTAATTAATTAATTAACATTAATTAATTAACATTAATAATTATTTACTTCATTTAAGTTAATGCAAAAAAAATTAGATTGTTCATAACTTCAAAATAGAAATATTTATTCAAATCATTTCTTTTCACAATTTGGTGCAGGCACATTAGTATGATCAGAAATTCTACTATCAGCATTTACATGTATTTTAGATGATTCTAAATTTATTGACTAATCTAGAATGGACTGTTTTAAATCTATAGACAATTACAAAGAATATCACTAGTGTGGAGGTTAGCCGTTCCCAAAAAAATCTGTAGTCAGAATATCCTGTATTAGCAAATTAATGGCTTAATGGTCTTAAAGAATATTTTATAATTTTAAAAGAAGATTAATTCAAGAAACCCTTTCATTTTATTGGTTACTTCAGAGAACATTTTAAAAAAATACTTGTTAACCTCAGAATTAGGAAATGTAAAATGAACAAATATAATCAGTCCAAGATTATGCAGCTGGGGTACTGCTCTCTTTCCAAAGTAAAATATTTTTTTTTGCTGTATTCCATGCTTGATTAGTATACAATACAGAATCACAATCATATCTCAGCTTTTGAGAGTTAAGACAATATCCATAAACTCCGTTTTCCCCAAACATTCCTATGGAACAAGTTAGGCTAGGAAAGAGTGACAGTGAGCATGGATTTGAACCTAGCATCATTGATGCAAATTCTGCATCTTAACCACTACACTACATTGGCTGTTTTACTCCTCTTAAAACTATGTTAACAAATCTATGGACATTAAACCAAAACAAGACAATAATGGGACCCCTCCATCATTCTCTGCTTATGAACTGGTTGGGTAATGATATAATGAAAGATTGAACAATGGTATTCCAAGAGGCCACATTTTAATGCTGTTTATAATAGCTGAGTTGCTTCCTATATATATTATATATTCTTGCTCTTTTTTCTTTCCCTTTTTGTTTTGTCTTTCATTTTGAATATTAAAGCAATAAAAATAAATCCAGAAATCACACACTAATGAAAACATTCAAAAGTCTATGTGCATATTTTACTTCATCAAAGCAAAACATTTTGCATTCCAAAGGTGAAGTACATAGGGAATATATCAATCTAATATTTAATTTCAGTTTTATTTTTAGCAGCAGCTTGAAGCTGTGGGATCAATGTATACTTATGCAGGACTCTTTATAAAAGCAAAGTCAAAGAACAGAGTGTTAGTACGACATAAGAACTAATAAGAGTTCCACCTTCTTAACTTCTCTCTTTCTTCTTTCTCCCTTTCTTCTCTCCGCTTTAAACGTTCCTGATTTCGTTTCTCCTGTTTGTCAGCCACAATTCTCTGAAATCATTTTCAAAATAAAGATCAGAAATTTCAAATATTGAAATATTATATAAACCAGGTCTTAAGCCCTTTAGAACTGGGCCGTGAAGTGGCGGATGAGCACATGCGCGCACTCCACTTGTGCAAGTGGCAGGAAGTGCACATGCACGCTCCATTTGTGCAAGCGGCATGTCTGCTTGCCTGCTGCTTGTGCAAATAGGGCTGAATGCACTTGCTCGCTGTTCATGCAGAACCATCCCCTCTCTCTCCCCCTGGCCGGTCCGCAAAGCCAGAAAGATTAGGGAACTCTGATATAAACCATTAAGAATATATATGTATAAGACAAAGTTACTTTTTCTCACACATTGGCAGCATTATTCTAATCTGATAGCACTGCAGGTTACATATTATCATATAGGAATATGTAGGGAACATGTATACTGTCTCAATATTATTGCCAATTACTTTACCATCTTTTTTATACCATCTCTTTTAACTGAACTCACACTCACATAACAAAAAGAGCAAATTAATTTTGGTCCATTGTTACCAAAAATTAAAATCTTAATCACAGAGAATAGCTAAAAGCAGCAGGAAAATAAATGACTATAAATAAAATTGTTAATAATGTCAAAGTCAGGCTATAAAACAACATAATTCTTTCATAAACATATACTAATAGTTTTGCTAGATCAAGGTAGGGTCATCTTAATCCAGCATTTTGTTTCACATTATGGACTCTGGGGTGCTCAGAGGCAATAGATGGGCTAGATATACCCTTCCAATCTTCTGCTACTAAGTTTGATTTGAATGATAAGAGAGCTTATGATAATACAAGTTGTATTTTGGGTACATTTACTCTTTTAATCTTTGTAAGGATTATAATCTGCTCAGAACCTCCCCTTTAGCAACTCAAGATGGTATATAGTATTCCCCTTTCCCCTTACAACTGTTTGAAATTCATTATTGGGAATGGGCTTGAAGGTCTGGTCCTAAATTCAATATTCAAGCTCTTTAATTCCACTTCTTGGCTCATGGACATTTAACACAGGGCACACTCTTTAGAGATGTCCAAAATGTTCAAATTTTGAAATAGGACATTTTGCACTCAAATACAGTATTTAAGGGACGCGGTGCCTCAGTGGCTAAGATGCTGACCTTGTTGATCAGAAGGTCGGCAGTTCAGCGGTTCGAATCCCTAGTGCCATGTAACGGAGTGAGCTCCCGTTACTTGTCCCAGCTTCTGCCACCTAGCAGTTCGAAAGCACATAAAAATGCAAGTAGAAAAATAGGGACCACTTTGGTGGGAAGGTAACAGTACTCCGTGCGTCTTCGGCGTTTAGTCATGCCACCCCATGACCACAGACATGTCTTCGGACAGCGCTAGCTCTTCAGCTTAGAAACAGAGATGAGCACCGCCCCTAGAGCTGGAAACGACTAGCACGCACGTGCGGGGGAATCTTTACCTTTACAATATTTAGAGTGTGATATCTTTCCTAAACAATGTCCTTGTTAAAAATACTGGTATGAATTTTTTTAAATATAAAATGTTATTAAAAATTACAGCTATAAAGATAAAAATAGTTTTTTAAAAAATAAATGAATAAAAAATAGAAAGTGCAGAAAAGAAAATATTGTGAAGAAATATTTTAAAAATGACTCCTCCTTTCCTTACAAGTATAAGCAAATTTAGTAACTTATCATTTTTTCTTAAAATGCAATAAACAATCTCTTCTTCCACAACCCATCTCCTATCTATAAACAAATTCTTAAAGCCTCCCCATTTTAGTCCTCATCAGCATAAGTGCATTAAGGGTCACCAGAGATAACAATGTATCTGTTTAACTTTGATCAAATAAACCAAGTTCGTATTCCTACTTTTTAATAATTTTGATCTTTATCCTCTTAAATAGTGTCTTGGAATTTTTAAAAATTTTTCTTTGTCCCTTCTCAAAAAAATCCTGTTTTAACAAGCTTTAACAAGCCTAGGAAAATTATTCAGGTCACTCTTTTGATTTGTTATTTATATATCCCTTTTAATTATTAACACATCAGTTAGTTTGTTTTATATCTACAATGTAGCATTTTTTCTATATCATTCTTGTAGCCTGTCATTTTAAAATCTGATTTTAGATCAGAATCAATCTTGTCAGGTAAAACTTGTTCCTCTTTCATAACATCTTTTAGACATAGTCTATCCATTGAGGTAGACACTCTTAAAATTTACTTCTAGATACAGTATTCAAAAATATTGTATCTAAGGTTAAAATATTTTGCTTCATTGTAAGTCAAATTTAAGGGTTCTTCTCCTTTAATTGTCATCTTTTTTTCTTTCCGATTCCTTCTAACATCCAACTTTCAAATTCTCATCCTATCATGCTTTTTAAAGAATTTAAAACAAAAGCATTTTCCCATGGGACTTATAATTAATTCCAAAATCTTATTCTAAACCCATCTGGACCTACAGTCCATTTGTAGCTTTCCAAAATCAAAGTTCTAATCACCCTTTACTGCTTATTCTTAAACTTGTGTTTAAGACTTAATTTAAGAATTGAAGGAAACTCAATCAGTGTTGTAAAAACTTGTTAATCTAAAGCAGGGGTGTCAAACTGAAGGCCTGCGGACCAAATCCAGCCTGCGAGGTGGTTAGATCCCATAGGGCCATCCTGGAAACAGGTAAAGATTGACCTGCAGCACCTCGGTCTGGCCCAGGCTGACTGGGCACTGATCTGCTTGGCGTCCCTGGGGAATGTGTTCTGAGTGCTTCGTTTCACCCAGGATGCCAGCCCTCGCGTGCTCACTGCCTCCTACGTACATGGCCAGGGGGAGGCACTAAGATGGCGCTGCAGATCTAAGATTGGCCATGGGCTGGCCCTGATAGCTGCCACCAGGTTGTAATTCAGCGCCCCACTCACAGGCCTTTTACTGGGACCATCCCACCCTCGCATAGGAAAGCCACGCTGCCAATCTCTCTGCCTGCCCTCATCCCTTCCTGAGGTGCAGAGGAAGGAAGGAGATGGCAAGGAGACGGAATGGGAACTTTAGGCTCATGGGGTTTCTGCCTGCCAGGTGTGATGGGTGATAGGTGATCGCCGGGGAATGCGGCAGGCGAGTGGCTGTGGAATGCGGCTTCTGGCATTGCGGGGGGGGGGGGGGGGGGGCGCACAGAACTGCCCTCTCAGCATCAGGTGTAGAGGCAACGGAGGGGAGGGTGGACAAAAAGGATGTATGAGGAGAATGCGCTCTATGCGTGGACCAAAGGCAAGACCTGTGAGGGGGACAACAACCCATGAGGCGGTAATGACAGTAGCCAGAGGTGCAGGGGAGAGTCACGTGGCATGGGATGGAGCAGGCATGTCTGGTGGTCCGCATCACGTGCCTCCCCCCACTCTGCTGGATCCCCATTAGCGCCATGGCTGCCCATGCCCAGCCAGGATGCTGGGCCTGGGTAGTCATGGCACTGATAGGGATCCAGTTTTCCCCACTTGTGGTGGCCGCCTTTTGTTGCTGGGCCTGGGCATGCTCTACCACCTCTACTCGGGCTTTCTAGCTGGCCGCTTTGCCTCCTTCGTGCTTCTTCCCCATTCACATTCCTCTCAAAAAACACCTATCCATTAATTCTCCTGTTCGTTTGCCCTGGTCAGAGTCTCCCAAACTCTTTCTCTTCATTATAAAGGTGTTGACTTAGATTGTAATTTTGGCTGAAGAATGTGACTCCAGCTATTAGTTAATCATTTTATCAGTAACTCAAGTGTATCTGCAAGCCTATGCTCCCAGATCCTATGCTTAGCAAGTTGGCAAACACCTGGGCAGAAAAAAAAACCAAATATATCATCATTCAATTGCCAAACACTCTCTTAACAGTCACTATCAAACTCCAAAAACTTTCCAGCTTGTACCTGTTTGTACTTACACCTCAGTGGTGTAGGGTTCTGATGACTCCCACAGTGTTCCTGGACTGTGCAGTACACATTAAGGAAGACAGAAACCTTAACAGTGAAGTTTATAGAAACCCCCACCCCCACACACAGATTAATATTTACACATTTTGATTCTCATCACCCATTGGAGCACAAAATGGAAGTCATCAGAACCCTACACCATTGAACTGAAGGCCTGCCTACCAGCAGAGATGGGAAAGAAAAAGAACTAAAATACATCAAAGAAGTCCTCAGAGATTCTTAGTCATCCAGGTCATGGTTGTCCCAAAGGTGCTTTTTCAGGAGGCAACTGGACTCAAAGAAAAAAAGAAAGAAAATCCAGTTGCCTTCTGAAAAAGCACCTTTGGGACAACCATGACCTGGATGACTGAGAATCTCTACAGACTTTTAGCTATACAATTTGGGATGAACACCCTTGGAATGGTGAGGGAGTACGAATGGATTTCCAGAGAAAAAAATTGCAGACTACAGAAGCACTATTTAGGTGATCCTGAGGACACAGATAAACCTCCAAGTGCTTCAACTACCCTCTAAAAGGATGCAAATGACCAGCTGTCTGCAAGGAATATAAATCCTTCCATTCCCCTCCATCCAATCAGAGCTGAAGAAGCTTCATGGATGAGAAGTGAAATGTCTTTTTTAAAAAAATCCACCAGAAAGTCAAGTTGCCTCTTGAAAAAGCACCTTTGGGACAACCATAATCTGGATGACTGAGAATCTCCAGACATTTTGGAACTACACTTCTACACCTCTGGTTTAGTCACTTAAATACAAATTTAAGTTAACTTCTTGTTTGAAAGGCAGTAAAGGACTATTTATACTATTTTTTTGAGGAAGCTCCTCTTTCTCAGCTTCATCATATTAATTTCAAGTGTGGTATCAACAGGACATTACTGAAGTAGTCTGATAATTAACAGTTCACAACAGTTGGAAAAGAGTAATATATACTTACCCTTAGTTCTTCAAGCTTTTCTCTTATTTCAATAAAACCCAAGTGCAGCTTTCCTCCAAAATGATCAGCAAGCCGCCTGTCATTGTCATGTAAGCCAAGATAGGCTGAGCATACTTCACAGACTCGTAGCTTTTGCTGCTGGAAACTGGAAGCAGGCATGGAGTTCCGGTACACTTCCTAGAAGATGCATCATAATGTCTCTTAAGCTATGAACAACTTACATTCTTAGTAAGTACAGAATCAACAATAGCTGATTAATTTGGTTCTTTGTATGTGTTGTGTGCTAGTTTTCCTGATTAAAATGAAACAAACAGAAGATATTATAAGAGTAATAACTGCTATCTGTAAATAAGCAAAATTCTTCATCTGCACTATTTTCTTCACTCTCTCTTTTAAAAAAATGTATTTCCCAATGAAACAATATTTTGTGGCAAATGAAAACCACTGAGTATGTTCCATCCTTTTATGAATGTTTTAATCCTTCTGGTACTAAGGAACTTTGCTCAGGGATATAACTAGTGATAGTTTACCAGAATCAGATTAAGGAAATATTTTGACATATAAAGGGATTCTTTTCTCTATGTGCCAGGCTTCATAAAGGGAAAGAAGTAGCACAAGTTCATTGTGCCTAGTATAAATTGAGATAAGCCACAAATAAAATAATGTTAAACAATTGGTGTGTATTTACTGAAATGTTGAGAACAATGAATATAGTTTATATATTCTTTTAACTATCAACTCCATGAATAAGAATTTGTCTTTCCAGGACTAACTGAAAAAATATACTTTTGTACATAATCAAATTACCTCTGCTTCTCTTTTCTTTGCTCTTGCTTTCTCTACTTCATCCATTACTTTCTGAGACTCTTCCACATTTCCATCAGCTCCAAGTTGTTCAACTTTAGCAAGCAGTTTTCCAATTTCCTCATTTAATTCATGGACTCGTTCAGCCTTTCAGAGAGAAAAGCAATATTTACATTTGCTAATATTATTAATGTTCACTATGTAGAAGCCACATCAATATAAAGCAATAAGAAACTGCACAATGAAGTGCTTCTGTTCAGCTAGCCATTCCCTTTTCTAGGGTACACTGGCATATTATGCTATGAATGCTCTATGCAGATTTGAACAATAATAAATAGAAATGTTTATATAGGTTGCTTATAGTATTTGAATGTGAAAAAGGAGCAACATTTCAAAATTTTCAACACTGAGAATGAACTAATATTCAATAAATATGGGAAATGTTTCATTTCCACTCAGATTATCTTTACAGACAAAAGTGTTCTTCATACCACTAAGGCAGAGATGGATAATTAATGTCCTTCAAAAGTTCAAACTTAAAAAGCCCCAGCCAACCACGCCAGTAGCAATGGACTGTGAGAGTTGTAGTTTCAAGGTACTACAGGCAGGCAAAAAGAAGCAACATTCAATTGGCATTTTGCATTCACTGCTCCTCTTCAATATATCCCATTTTTAATTCAATTCAGACCCTTGTAATGCACAAATATGTACGTATTGTACGCACTCTTACACAAAACTAAAAATCAAAACAACCAAATCTTTGCTCAGCTAAAAAATCTGTGCGTAGTTTTGTGCATTTTGTCTTTTGTTACCCACTAATTTGATATAAAACGGGACTTCCAAAATTCTTTTATATAAATGCTATATATAAAATCAAGTTAGAAGTCCTTAGGGAAAGCCGTGTAGTGAGTGAATATTAAGTACTTACTTTGGCTGCCACTTCAGCACTGATCTCTTCTTGAGTTTCAGCCAGTCTTTTCTTTGCCACTTCTGTTCTCCTATCACAGTCAGCAATGAATGATTGCAGGTGATCCATTGCCTAACATATAAATCAGAAAAGTATCATACCGACTAGAAATAAGCACGTTTTCAGAATGCAAAAGTTAACTGTAGAACTAAATATTAAATGTATAAATTGCTGGTTTAATTATACAATACTTTTCTGGAAGATTGTAAAACAAATAAAATTGAGACCATCATTACATGAATTCTTATTTTCACGGTAATCACACTGACACTTGTATTCACAAATATTCAATCAAACAGATGAGAACAATCATTTTGAGGATTGAGCTGCATATATCACTGATTTAGAACTGGCAAGTTAACAGAAATTAAAATAAAACTAAAATGAGAATGAAGATTCCACATCTCAAAGATTCAAGTTATTCAAATATCCTAAGAAATTAGCTATAATTTAATTATGGTTTCAGAAAATCTACTATAAAAATCCGAAGGCTCTGTATTCAATGTTTCAATTCCCCCGCCCCTCTCTCTGTGTGTAAAATCTTTATTAAAAGGGATTCTGGGTGGCTTTTTATTGTAGAAAAGGTTTGTGATTTTTATTGTGCAATCTATTGGCCTTAGTGTGTGCTCCACTTTTGTCCTTATTTAGAAGATAAATGGGACAGTGTAACTACCCTGTGTCACTAGGAAAATGCATGCCTTCTTCAAAGTACTAAGATCATGTGCAAGTATGAAGCCCTTTACACTTTAATTTCAAATGAAACCCCTTTCTCGCTTCAAATAATTGCACACTTTACTAATAACTGTCAGAAATTTTATATTAATTTTATATGAAATATTTTACAATAATGCACAATTTGACCAGATTGTTTTTTATCAGGGCAACCTGTTCTACTCAAATATGGGACATACTGCTTCAGCTTTAGCCTTTCAGCCCCAATCCAGGAGCCTTCGCAGGCAGTCGCTTCAAGTTGTCTGTAAATATAAATTTAACACAAAAAATAGTTTGTCGCAAAAGCAACTGCCTGAGAAGACTCCTGGATTGGGGCTGAAAGGCGAAAGAAGTATGCTGTCCCATATTTGGGTAGACCAGGTTGCCATGATAAAAAACAATCTCTCCCCTAGTATAGCCGACAAGATAAGGAGAGCCCATAGTTTAGAGGTTAATATATCTACCTAACATGTAAGTAGCCTGGGTTCGAATCCCAGAAGGGTATGGCTAGCTGACGAGAGCTAAATAGCTTGAAATAGATCTATACTAATCTCCCTTTATTTCATTGTCGGTAAATATAAATTTAACACAATTTGACCAGATGTTAGCACTACCAATTCTCTTTCCATTCTTTATAATATAAAGATAATTTGGTGATAAAACATACATCAAGTTCAAAGAAAAAGTCTTGCTCTTTTGATGCAATTTCATAATCTGCTCTTAATGCCAAATCATGCACCTTCAGACATTCTCCAAGATCCATCCTCTGAAACACAAGACAAAAGGACAATTTTATAAAGAAATACTAAATGGATACAAATTATATTCTTATTTCAATATTCAAATAGTGTATCTATTGTTTAATATGATTTAAATTACTACACAAATTTTGTTTAAAAGTGATCAGTCACATCATTAAATGTCCCCAGGTCTCAGTGACACCATACTGCAGTAGATCAATACACTTAAATAAGAAATACAGTACTCTTAGCAGAAATTCTTCTTCCTGGGAAGAAAGAGCTTTCCCTTCAGTTCTTGCATACTTTCCCTTATAAGCTAGTGTGCTTAACAAATCAAGTTACAAACCAAGTTATTTAATTTTTTTATATAGTGTGGAAACATACATAACACCCATTGTATTATTTTTTTTCAATTTTAGATGTGGATTGCCATTGTCTTCTTTGTAGGGCTGAAACAGAGTGACTGGGTCTGTGAACTAGAACTCACAAGCCTGGTGTTTTAAATACTACACCAAACTGGTTCACTATTGTATTACTTTTAAGTCCCATCAAAAACAAGGTTTGAATATATGTCCTTTCATAAGAACAAATGATGCTTGATTCTTTACTTGCCCTTTTTGAAATATCATCTATATCTGCTCAAGGAGTGGTAGAATCTCCTTGCTGGATGGGTGGAGAAGAGTGACAGAAAATCCCATTCTCTGAGATGTCCTGAATTAGAATGGGGTAGAGTACTTTGTTTTAAGCATCTATGGGCTTATACATGTAGTCCTTGACTTACAACCATTTGTTTGATTACCGCTCAAAGTTACAATGGCACTGAAAAAAGTGACATATGATCATTTTTCACACTTAATTGCTATTTATAGCATCCCCACAGTTATATGATCGAAATTTGGGCACTTGGCAACCAGCATATATTTATGACAATTGCACTGTCCTGGGGTCATGTAATAATCATTTGTAACCTTCCCAACTGGTTTCTAACAAGCAAATCCAGATTCGCTTAATAACTGCATGATTCATTTAAAAACGGCAGTGATTTGCTTAACAACTATAATAAAAAAGATAGTAAAGTGGGGTAAAACTCACTTAACAACAGCCTCACTTAGCAATGGAAATTTTGGGCTCAATGGTGGTTGTAAGTCGAGGACTATCTGTAAAATTATAAAGTAAATTATAAAACAAAAACATTAATACATAAAGAAATAAATCATTGGGCTAGGATGGAGCTTGAGCCAGGAGGCTGTTTGGTCTGGAGCCTGATGGAAAGGATGGTTTGTTTTTATGTCTGTTTTTACCATTTGGGATCATTGTTTGAGAGGGGCAACCATGTATGTTGTATAAATAAATAAATAAAATTATTACAAAGGTTTAGAGTTTAAAGTGGCTGGTACCATAACTTGGACAGGGAAGAAATGAAATACAAATTTTATATTTTATAATATAATTTAAAACCTATATGCAGATTAGTTCTCATAAAAATATACGAAGCAATTATTTATTATTATTTATTAAGTTTGTATGCCACTTCTCTCACCAATAAGGTAATTTTGGGTGGCTAAATAAACCACAGATGAAACACTCTGAATTTCTCTTTTTTCTTTCAAAACGCTCTTTAGCAACTAAGTTGCCTGATCCTTCTTCCACTGTACTTTTTGCCTGGGGATTCCTAGTTATTCTGAATTTTTTATTGGGTTCCCATTATTCCCCACCATCAGTTTCTTTCCTTCCTTGGTTTACTAAATAAAACCACCAAAGTTTTGCCTACTTTTCTAGCTCTAATGTAAGTAGGAGAATATAGACAGTACTACTCGGCAGGTAAAGTGTGGACAAGAAAAAAGATAAAGAAAGTGAAAGATCCAAGTCCAAAGAGACAATTTAGAGATATAAATTCTATTTTACTTGTAATCATTTGCAAAAAGTTCTTGCACAAGAAAACTGGTTGACAATTTTTAGCACTGTCCATAATAAAAATATTACAAATAATTAAATTCTCAACTTTCACTAGCCAGTCTAATGTTATACGGATATCAAAAAGTGCATGATATACAGATATACACTCCAATATACAGATTTAAAAATGAAGACTTTTGATATGAACTGCATTAAAGAATGTACACTTTAAAAATGCCTTATGATAAAATGATTCTATGTGAAAGACTACCTTCAATATTTATGGTTATCAGTAATATCATAATCAAAATATTCAAGTCCAGTGAACAACTCTTTTATGAGAAATTAAGACTGGTAAAAGGATAGAGAAATCTGTTTTGATTAATTTTTTAAATATATATAAAGTTTATTGTCATTGTACGTATATACAGAGAATACCCATACAACGAAATTCACATAATACCCAGAGACCAAGCCCAACACACATTGATTAATTGAGAGTCAATTTAGCGGTTAAAGTGTTGGACTAGGAAGTAGAGACCCAGGTTCCAGTCAACTGTCAGCCACAGAAGGTCACTAGGTGACTTTGGGTCAGTTACTTTCTCTCAGCCTAAGAGAGGTGGGGAAAAATAAGATAGAGGATATAACTTCAAATAATAATAACGATGCACAATAAGTGCTTTTCACTTTATTCATGTCAGAAGCATCTTCAAATTATGGACATATACCATTCAATACTGAGCAACTAAACTATGTGTAAATTAGGTCATAAAGATGTAGCACATATGAAAAGTACTGAAAATAAATAGGATTAAAACTAGATGATGTTCATCCAGTATTAGGCCACATTGACAGCATTTTCTCTCACCAGCATTAATCTACCTCTGTGCATGTTGAAGAACATTGTATACACTGTAGCATATGTAAGATGGATTGTTCTCCACATTCACAAAAATGTATAGCGAAGCTCCATTTTCTTAGATTGTCCTTTGATCTTCCTACCCTAGCAATCTCCAGACAGGCCAAGGTTGTTCTTGACTGGGCAGCAGACAGTCATGTGGTTATGCCCAGTTGCCTGATAGCTGCTTCTCTAGTGGTGCACTATTGGTTGCCTGGTACACTCTTCTCTATTTTTTAAAATCTCTGCTTAACTTCTATGCCTAGTACCTTATTTTTTTTTTATCTTGCCTTTATTTTTGGTCAACTCAAGCAGTGTACATATTAATATTCTAAACTTCCCCAACATAGTGAAATGGGTTGGGCTGAGTGAGTGAGTGTATGACTTATCTTAAGTCACCTAGCCAGCTTTAAAGGCCTAAGTTAGGACTAAAACCTATGGTACCCTGGTTACTACATCAAACTACCTCTCAAGTCACTTTCCCTCAACCGAATTTAATCATATGATGAGAGCTGTAGAGGAAAAATAAGAGAAGGGAGCACTATGTAAGACTGCAGACATAAGAGCTCTTTGGAAGGGTTTTCCCCCCAATAATACACTTAAGTTCTGAGGTGTTTTGACCTTCATTAAATCTTATTATGTCAGAGGTGATCAATGCCAAATAAATAAAAATAAAACCTTATAGTTATTGTTTTGCAAATCTATCCATGTTTCCTCATATGTCATTATTTGTCCCCCCCCCCCATTGTGACACTATTTATCTCTGTGTCTTGATAAGGGCAGCTGTGTAAATGCAGCCAATTCTAGCATATAATGAACTCTTCAGAATGGATCTAGATACCAGCAAACCACAGTTTAGGCAATCTAGATCAGGGGTCGGCAACCTTAAACATTCAAAGAGCACTTGGACCCGTTTCTTACAGAAAAAAAACACACTGGGAGCCCCAAAACCTGGGTGGGCATGGCCAACTCGATGTCACTCACTCCCACCCAGTCACATGACCCCTTAGCCATGCCTACCCAGCTACAAAACCATTCTCTATCTCTCCCCCTCTCCCTCCCTTTCTGTATCTCTGTCTGTCCCTCTCCCTCTTCCCCTCTCTCCTCGTGTCTCTCTCCCTCTGTATCTCCCTCTCTCCCCCTCTCTCACCTCATCTCTGTGGATCACTTTGTACGTGTCACTCTATGGCTCTCTCTCTCTCTCCCCCCCCTTCAGGCGACCGTCCTCCCCCTCCCCCGTAACTCCCTGGTCGGATGCGACTTCTCTCCTGCACTAATGCTCTGGCCATCGCCCACCCCCAGCAGCTCTTCAGCCAAGCGCAGAGGGAGAGAGAGAGAGAGATAACACGCATGTGTCTTTCCTGAGGGAGTAACTTTAACTCTGTTGAGGCAATTGAAAAGTTCATGTGGATGTATAATATTTGCGTATTAGGAAATCATGTGAATTGGCAAAGCAATATGTTACTCTTATACAACATAAATAGTAATTACCTTGGGGATTTCTATTGCAATTTCAAAGTGAGGAGTTTCCATTCCTGTCCCATCACTGGTTGGCCGTGCCCCTCTTATTTCTTTTTTGGACTCCAGCCCGAAGTGGCAGGAAGCGAAGGCTGCCTTCCGTGCAAATGTGGCGTGAAGGCAGGTACAGGGCAGTTTCGCTCCTGCACTCTCCGGTGACTCTCCTCCCCCTCCTCCTCTCAGGATGCCCGGGCTGGCTGTGGCTGAGCTTTGGCACTCGCTTAAGGAGGGTCTCCCTGCACGTGCGCACACTCCTGGCTTAGCTATAGCCAGCCAGGGGGTTACAAGAGGAGGAGGGGGGAGAGGAAAGTGCAGGAGCGAAGCTGCCCTGTACCTGTCTTTACGCCACATTTGCGTGTAAGGCAGCCTTCGCTTCCTGCCACTTTGGTCTGGAAGTCCAAAAAAGAAATGAGGGGCGGGACCAACCAGTGATGGGACAGGGAGCCATGGCAGAGGGCCCAAAGAGCCGCTTGTGGCTCCGGAGTTGCTGACCCCTGATCTAGATCTATTCTGAAGAGTTCATTACATGCTAGAACTGTTATCAACACCATGGAAGAGTATGCTAAAAATTCCCTTGCCAGTAGTCACATTTTATGAATAGATTTTAATATATGCAGAAATGTTTAGGCTATAGACAAGAAAATTTATATACAGTGCTATAAATCAGATGCATGAGAGTGCCAACAGGCTAGAAGCTAGTAGACTAAATTCAAGACTTCAGACTTTTTTCAGTCCTAGGAAGCAAGCTATGGCCAAGAAAACTTCAGGGAATTGTTCAGACAGTTTCCAGGAGTCAATATTGGCTCAGAGGCATATCTCTCCCCCTCTTTATAGATTAAATAAAATACACAATACATTTTCTTCACTTCATTTTGCTTTCTCTTCTCCTTGCACGCCAGTGTGACACAAAATATTTCTGCATTTATAACTTCTATTTCTATAGCTATAACTTTTGATGTACTTCATTATAAGAAAATGCATGTCTTCCTAAACAAAAAACAACTAATCCCAAATGTTTCCTAAATATTAAACTCTAATTCTATCCTAACATAAAATGCAAATATCAGTTTAGTACTTTAAATAGAAGTGGTAATATAGTATTTATTACCACCACAATAATACATACTAAACAAATTTATGAAATGCTATGCATTTGGTTTTAAATCAATATAATTCCAGCTATCATTCTCTGAAGGTAGACCTTCAATATCTTCTCAAGTGAATTTGTTCAAGGACAGTACTTTTCAAGTATTAGAAATCCGAAGAAATGAACAACAACAACAAAAAGGTTTCTAGAGAAAGGATGGTGAAAGGCAACATCATCAAAATATGCAGAGGGAACAAAAAATGCCAAATCTACAGATATTTCCCTCACATTGTGAATAAAAAGTAACGATCATAAAAGGTCTTCATTTCAATGCCCCCAGAAATATATTTTGTTCTAAGCTTTTTAACCATTTTAAATCAATGAGAACAAGTTAACAATAATTAGGATATCTCACTGACTTCAGCAGAACTGTAGCATTACCAATTTAATCTAGATTCAGCATTCACTTTGTTCAGATCCAGTGTTGTGTTATTAAGATCTAGACTGAAAAGATATGGACCTAAGTCCTTTTACACACTTGGAAATTCACTGTGTGCAATCAAGCCACTCGTTCTCACAGCAGAACTACCTTAGTGGGCTATTGCTATAGGCAGATTGTCACCCTAAAACCTTCCTGAGCTTTGTAGGATACTAATCTAATCAATTAATCAATAAAAGCTTGAGGCTGGCAAAAAAAGATAAAGCAACAGAACCTTAAAGATACTGAATACAGTTTTAGTAAAAGCAGACTTAAAATTAGAGCCACAAGCAGTAAAAAAGCACAGGTTCTGGATGGTCTTTGGAAAAAAGTTATATATTAACGAAGACTTGAATACTTGCAATTCAGGACTCATATAAATCTGGAGAGCTGTTAAGTTATGGTTTAGCCAAAAAAAAAAAAAAAAAAAAATTTAAATTGTAGTATGTTTCATGGTGATAAACCTATTCTATCTTGCTGTAAATCTTTAAATATTCTGTATTTAAAGGCAAATTTCATCTCTGTGCATTTTTATATGCTAACTGGTTAAATAATTGGAAAATAATACATTATAGCATTATGGATTCCTTAGCAGTTAATTAACAAGTTTCCAAATACATGAATTAAAATTTAATTTGTTATTTATTTTCCTACTTTTTTGGGAGATATAAAATAATTTTATTCACATACTTAGTATTTTTCTTAAACAAAGTTAAAACTGAATTTGTTTTTCAGTTCTGTATAACAGTGGACTTCTAAGACCAGCAAAAGCTAATCATATTCATAGAAATTATTCTATATCCCCCAATTCAGTTACTTTGAAAATACTGAGTTAGACTTTTATAATAAAATTTGTCAAAGAAGAACATTCCATGCATCACTTGCAAAAGTATAAAAATAAATAGCCCGGAGACAGCCAAATAGCAATTTGAAGAACAAAACATTCCTTGGAACAATTTTATCAGGTGCCATTGAAATCAAACTATGTGCAATGTTTCTTACAAGTTATACCATAGGCAACTGTTTTCCAGTTTTTTGTTTTAATATGAAGTACTATATTTTGTGGACTATAAGATGCACCTAAATTTAGAAGAGGAAAACAACAAAAAAAAGTTTTTGGCTTCCACTTGCCTCATTTTTGGCCCTTTTTTCAGCTCTTTTCCAGCCTTTTTTCTGCTCGTTTTTGAGGCTTTTTTTTGGGCCCATTTTTTTCAGAAAAAAGCTGAAAAAAGCCTGCAGAGGCCAAAAAATGGCTAGCGGGTGGGCGGGGCTTTGGCAATATTCGGTCTATAAGACGCACAGACATTTTCACCCCTTTTTGGGAGACAAAAAAGTGCGAAAAATATGGTATTTAAATTATGAATTCAATAAGCTATGACACATGCAAAATATTCCATTATTATATGAGTTCTACCGCTAATAAGTCTGGTCAATTTTAAATCATTGGCTTGCATTGTGATAAACAATTTTATCCCAAATATGAATTAATTATATTAATTTATTATTAAATATAATTAGTATTAATTATATTTAACTCAAAGAATATAAATGAACAAATATACAAAAGGCAATTCTCGATGTCTTCAATTCTCAGGTTCAGACTTTAAATCTGCTTTTTTATTCAAAGTTATGATGTTTTCTAGCAGAAGGGAACAGAAGGGAGTAATTAAAGAATATCTGTTGCAAAGGAAGCTGATAATTGAAAGATGGACAAACAAAATAACAGTACATGAAAAACAGAAAAATATCTTTCAATGGAAGATTTGCATGAAAAATAATAGGTTTCTAATTTGGTGAAAAATCAAATATATTGTATTTACCAGATTAACTGAATTCTGGACAACAGTCCAGATAATTTTCTATACTAATATTTAGAATTTATATTATTGGAGTAGTAAAAACTGGTATTTGTTGATGCATCCTGGTTTTGTTTTTGTTAAATGCTTCATATTTATTTTTATTTCCAATTTCAGCATAAAAATAATGCCTAACATACTGTTATTTTATTAAGCAATCTGGATTCAAAGCAAAAAAGTTATGCAGGACTTACGTCGGTTCTCAGGTCACACTCGTCACAAACTCTTAAAAAGCAGAGTCCTTTTCTGGGTTTGGGCAACAGCTATTACACTATCTCAGAAAAATCTGTTTTTGATTTACTTTGCTACTATGTCTGATATGCATGCCCATATTTGTGCCCTATCCCAATTTCCTTTTTTAATCTAGATTGCTGCAAATCCCTGTACCTTAATTTTATAATGTAAATAAACAATCAAAAATAAGATGAATTAGTTTGAGTACTTCTGCAGAGATAAATATATATTTTAACTTATAATTTAATATTTATGGCTGTAATATTTATGAATATAGAATACGCACTGTTCCTGAGAGGACATCATGAGGGCAACAGTTGAGAAGATGACTTTTGCATACTCTGTCATCACTGAATTTAATTCGCTGACGTGTAGTATCCCCTGCAACATAGAAATATACATTTCCGATTAGAGAATCATGTAATATTGAATAAAGCATTCATACTTTTCATATATTTCACTTTTGTTCAAAAGAATATTCTGCTTTTCACAAAAAGAAAAATATTAAGACTATCATTTCAACCTCCGCAATGGATACATGTTTCTAACTCTACACTGGGTGAAAATTCATTGCTTCTAAAACAAATTATGAGAGGCATAAATTAATATTGCTAGTAAAATTGTTTATATTAGTATCAACAGCCTTCAAAACATTTATACTATATTTTCTGATGTTTACTGAATTCCCGCTGTTAATTCTTCAAGATCTAATCAGTAGCATTGATCCATTTACTTCAGGCAGGGGCAACACATACTTAAATTAAAAAAACCCAAACCCTGTACTATATCACTGGGAAAACAATGCCTGCAAACAGCATTATTCAAGAGCTGAAATCCTCTATTTGACAATATAACATCTTAAAGATAAATTGAAACTTTTACAAACTTTTATAAACCCCAAAGCATCAACCTGTTTACCACATATGGAAATTGAATTTCAAGTTTAATATCACATCTGTGAACAAGGTTGGAAAAGTTTTATCCAAATGACATGCAAAACACTGGCTACTGATTTATTGCAGGTTTTTTCCCCTAAGACAGGGGTCTACAACCTTAAACATTCAAAGAGCCAGTTTCCCACAGAAAACACTGGGAGCCACAAAACCTGGGTGGGCATGGCCAACTCAACATCACTCCCACCCAGTCACATGACCACCACCCCAGCCATGTCTAACCGGGTTTTGTGGCTCCGGGTGGGAAATGGGTCTCTCTGTCTCCCCCCCCCTCATTTTTCTCTTCCCCCTTCCCTTTCTTTTCTTTCTTTCCTTTTTTCTCTCCCCTTCTCTCGTTTCCCTCTTTTCCCCCTCATTCTCTCCCTCCAGCTCCCTCATTTCTGTGTCCCTCTCCCGCTCTCCCTTCTTTCTCTCTCTCTCCTCTTTTTCCTCTCTCATTGTCTCCCTCCATCATTTTCTCATTTCTCTCTCTTTTTCCCCTTTTCCTTCTCTCATCTATCTCTTTCCCTCCCTCTCTCTTCCCCCCTCTTTCTCTCTGTCTCTCTCTCGTGTATGTGTGTGTATGTTCCCTCTTGAACCATTTCCAAAATGAGGCGAGAGTTGGTTTTTTTTTTTTTTTTTTTGCTGATATTGTTTCTTCTTCTTTGGGTGCTTTTTACCATATGATTTAAATCAAGAGTCATTTCAGGTTCCCAGATAAATGAAGCTCTTTCGTCCCCCTGCTGTGGCTTCCTGCCGGCTGGCTGGCCCCGCTCTCCCAATCACTCCTCACATAGTCTGAGAAGGTAAGGGTGATGGTAGGGATGGAGACTCGCTCCATATTCCAGAGCGGGAGGGAAGTGCCCCTATACTTGCTTCTCATCTCGCAGGCACTTCCTCTGGTGCTTCTTGGTGCTGCACGCACCTCAGTTGCTCGGGGAGACGTGCAACTTTTGCTCCGCCCCGAGACACTGGCCCGGCTGATGCTCCACGTCGTAATAGGCTCCAGGAGGAGGAGGGGACACCATCTCCCCCATTCTGAAGCATGCAAAATTTAAGTGTGTTGTGCAAGATGCTGCAAGAGCAGTGAGCAGGTGATGGTGGTGGCAAGAGCAGTGGCATCAGCCACAGCCAGGCTGGGCCAGTGCTCTAGACTTGCAACTTGCTCTCACCGCCTCCATCGCCTGCTCACTGCTGCTATCACAGCACCTTGCGCAACACACTTAAATTTTGCGTGCTTCACAATGGGGGAGACGGCGCCCCCTCCTCTTTCTGGAGCCCATTACAACGCGGAGCATCGGCCGCAGCCGGGCCAGTGACTCGGGGCAGAGCGAAAGTCAAGGTGCGCACAGCACCAAGAAGCGCCAGAGGAAGCGCCCGCGAGATGAGAGGCAAATACAGGGGCGCTTCCCTCCCACTCTGGAATATGGAGCGAGTCCATCCCTGCTGTCGCCCTTACCTTCTTAGGCCACGCGAGGAGTGACTGGGAGGGGAGGGCGAGGGGCGGGGCCAGCCAGCCAGCAAGGAGCCACAGCAGGGGGACGAAAGAGCTGCATGCGGCTCGGGAGCTGCACGTTGCTGATACCCACCCTAAGACAATGGACAATACTCGGTCTCAGATTTGAAAAAGATAATTCCATAAAATGTATTTTCAGTCTAAAGATGCAGAACCAGATAGAATCCTTGTATTTCCAGGGTTTTTAAAAATGGATTTTAAATTATGATTATATAAAATGAAAACCTACTGGTGAATTACTGAAGCAGAATATCACTGCTGGGAAAAAAGAGTTTTGAAACTTTATCCCAACATTATTCATTTCAAAAAGGAAAAAGGTTTAAAATAAAAAAATGTAGCCACTACCCTATTCTCATAAACTTGGAAGAATTTAAGCCTATGCAACAATTCTACACCAGCCTATTATGCAATTCCAGAACGACTATTTGCCCTAAAAAAGAACTATGATGTAACATTTTCAGATGGGCTGTACTCTGCTCAAGTATTTGTTTCTGATATCAATGTTTATGAAGATTAGTCAAATAAGCAATTCAAGCTTCAGAGTAGTTCAACAATAGGTTTTCAGAAGCTGGGTTTTTAGATTTAGTAATTTTATACTAATGAAAATTTAGAATTGTCTTTAAAATCCACACCTACTACTGCAGAAAATGAGGAACTGGGATATTTTCCCACCAGTTTTCCTCTCTTTTTAAAGACACAAATTGTTGGTTCCACATTAACACATCTGAAAAGTTAGCAATAACTCACGGCTCGGCGAATGCGGGGCCTTTCTGACACTCCCTTGCAGAATGAAGTAGGCAGGCATAGATACATTGAACCTTTATAAATAAAACAAGGGGCTATATTGTTCAGTTTGTATATAATAAACTCTGCCAGCATTTTAATTACAGTGTCTAGAAATACATTGTGAAGGTAAAGAGTAATAGGAAACCTGAAATATTTGTGCTTGATAGCAACAATGTTTGTATTCAAGGGAGATTTTGTTAGGAAAAGTTACCTAAATTATAGCTGGAAAAATATTTTGATTACTAGGCCCCTATGTTCTGTTTATCTTCTGCTTTAAGCACCTAGGAATTTGCTTAAAAATGTTATCCCAGTACCTAGAATTTCAAATATATTTCCAGCCTTGCTTAAAACGCTTTTCATTTTAAAAACCCATTCGTTTCCAGATAAAACTTATCTCAAAATATACTTGCATGGATTATCAATTTTTAAACATTTTAAAACGCAAATTTTGAAATACAGATTGTTTGTCAACATTGAATAGCAATGGTAACTGAAAGAAAAGTGGGAAGTAGCATTTTCTTTTTACTGTTGTATATTCTATGTGATCAGGGTATTCTTACAATTGTTACAATGAATGTATACAAACAAGTTTAGTGTTCTTTAGAAACAGTAGGTTCCTTTAAAAAGTATGTCTGGCCCAAACCATATTTCGCTACTTCATAAATACGGAAGCAATTATATACTAGTTGCATCTTATTTTTAAAAAAATCCTATGAAGTCAATTCCTATATTACCTTTTAATTTGCAACATAATTTCATGATAACAATTAGCTGCCTAAAGCATATGTTCGCCACCAAACGATAATTTAGAGGAATCTGGAAATACTAATCAAATTTCATGTTTATTACCAATACATATAAGTAAATATTAAATCTGACCACAATACATACATGTAACTACATATTCTTCTAGAGAAATAGAATAAAATTGTGCATATTTTTTCAGGTAACATTCTATTGTTGTAAGCATTCAATTATTTGAATACATATTTCATTTTGATAATCAGTCCCATATAAACTATTATTTTCTTCCCATCTCACTTACTACTGGTATAATTACCGTATTTTTCGCACTATAATACGCACCCCCCCCCCAAAAGTGGGTGGAAATGCTGTGCGTCTTATAGAGTGAATATTGTGGCGGGGGGAGGGGTTGATGCGCCTTCCACTGCTGCCGCTGTTCGCAGCCGCTGTGGAACGCTGGAGCCTTCACTGCTGAGCAGGGTGGATAAAAATCAATGATTTTTTTAAAAAAATAAAAAAAAATGGATTTTTTTGATTTAAATCGAATTTTTTTATTTAAATCAGATTTTTTTGATTTTTATTGAATTTATTTTAATAAAAAACTTTTGGGGTAAAAATCTATCGTAAGATAGTTTTCTATTTAAGATACATAAATAATTTAGTTTATTCAGCATAAAATGGAGCTTAGTTATGTAGCACAAGGCTGTATATTCTGCAACACTGGGACTATCGGTAAGTCAACAGCGGGTCAAAGGAGTAGCAGAGATGACAGTTGCTCTTTAAAAATTATGATTTAAATCGAGCTGATTTTTACTAGTGATTTAAATCATGATTTAAATCGACTCGATTTAAATCAAATCCACCCTGCTGCTGAGCAGCTGATTGGCGGTTGGATTGGCGTCTCAGAATACTGCCGATCAGCTGTTCTAGGAGGCGGGGATCACCGCCACCTAGAACAGCTGATTGGTGGTATTCCAGGAGGCTGAACCAACCACCGATCAGCTGCTTGGCAGCAAAGGCTCCAGTGTTCCCCGGTAGGCGCAGCAGCTCAGCTCAGTTGATCGGTGGTGGACTGAACCAGGTGCTGGGGCTGCGATAACGTGCTGAAGCTGACCAGGCTGTTTGCTGCAAGGACGCTAGCCAGATGAATACTGGATGGATGCTGGGAGGCAAAGGCAGATTTCCCCCCCTTGTTTTCCTCCTCTAAAGCTAATGTGCGTCTTATAGTCTGGTGCATCTTATTAGTGCGAAAAATACAGTACCCCAGTAACATTACTGATATTCCTACTGTACTATTACTGAAATCTTCTTTAGCTTATACAGATCCTGATTGTATCTTATCACGAAAACAAGTTTGTTACAATGATGCAAAAAAATAACACATCAGAATGCATCAACATGAATC